AAATGTAACTATTTGACAAGTAAATAAATAATGACTGTCAGGGATGGATATAACCCATTGCCCGACGTCCCAGTCCAGTGTTCTTTTCTGTCGGGCAAGCAAATTTGTATATCACGCTGTACTAGTGTCCAGTTGACTTTCCAATGTTAATTGTGTTGTTTATTTAAGAAATCAACAAGAAAATAGGCCGTTATAGTGGAAAAAGTTATCAGGGCAAGTGATTTTACATGTGCCACTGTTACGCAGTACACTAGCAATTTTAAAGTTATTTCCACCCCTGACTGTGTGCCTTTAACACCGCTTTGAACAGTTTTCCTGTTGTACCCACGATCAGAGGCTTCTGGTGTTCCACAAGGGATGCAACTCTGCACATCAAATGTTAGTACCTGAAATGACCCTTTATACATGATAACCATCGTCTGGGTATCATTGTGTACTAAATCCAGTAGGTAAATATATATTGAATTGTTGCCTTGTTCATTGCAGCAGCTGATTAGTTTGATGAATTATAGAAAACTATTGCATTTATCGTATCTCATGTGTATATTGATGGAGCCTGTGCAACTAAGAGATATATTGACTGAATAGACCAACCATCTCTGCTTGTCATATGTCATCCTTTGATGGTCAGCCTTTGACGGGTGTCAATCATCCGGCCTGTTGGGTCAATACATATCCAGATACCTGCTCTGAGCCTTGTTAAACACCGTATCTCATAGAATCACATGACATATACATTTCAACTATGGTATAAAGAACAGCTATGTTTTTCCGAGGTTATCAATATTGAAATATGCTTAAACTGCTGGTCAGTATGAGTTAAAAATCTGATGGAATATGTTTTGATTCACCTTCCTATGTGGACAATATTGTCAAATTATTGATATGTATATTGGCAAGAAACTGTGTGTGTGGAGCAGTGGTCCAAGTAGTCACTGAGTATCTACTCACATCAGTTCATTCTCTTAGGATCTACATAGGTTTTAATGGGTAACATTAGTATAGTTTTACTCTAGTGCTGGTATTGGCATACAACCTGCGATCGATACATCACGGTACTAACATTTGACTCACTGACGATATATTGCCAAAGTATTGTGCACTGAAGCTGCGATACGATACGAATCCCGATATAAAACGGTGGGGATACGATACATATCACGATATTAAAATATTTAAATCTAACACCAAATATAAAACACCATAAGATCAAAACAAAACCATTTTAAAGTATTTTCGTTTAATTTTTTTTAATGTTCATTTGGAAACGAGATAATTATGTTTATACACAGACTTTGAATGTTAACATGTGAGCGCTGTCTGACACAGTTCTTGATGCATGAATTTCCGAGAAAACGTTTACTTGTGAAGGGAAAATAAGTAAGCATATATTTTAATCATCAAACAAAGTAAGTCTTTTTTCTTGACAGATATCGCGATTCGGCAATATTCAAAGTTAAACATTGATGTATCGTGGCGTATTTGAAGTATCATATCGGGATATATACGACAATGTAAAACTTTGTATCGATTCACTGTATCGGCGGCCTATGGATCGATGCATCGATGCGTATCGATGAATCGTCACGCCACTATTTTACTCCCATGGGTCCTAAGTATGTCACATGTTCTTCAAGGTCTGAACAGGGATGTCTAAGTTACAGTAAGCTGGACACCGTGCCTTGTGAATTGTTAACAGCACCAGAGGTAAACCTTTGAGGCCTTGTAAATAAGGATCTGTAACAGTGTGCAGCTTTAGCCACTTGTCAAAGGCCCATTAGTTTAGTAACATTCTGTTTGGCTTAGCTATTACTAGATAAAATAATAACTTATTTTGGCTAATGATCTTAAATGTTTTGGGCACAGGTAAAACAGTTACACAAACCTATGACATCATCATAGATAATTTTGTTGTGTTGTTATAATGTTAAGCTACTGGGTTGAATTTTTATTAGCAACCATGTATTGTGACAATATGTGCTTGCTTATTAATACAACCCAATAGGTTGATATCGTTGTCAGTTTAGAACTATTGTGATATTGTGGTGTTTGCTAGCATGACTACTGTACTGTGACTGCTGAAGTGTGGTTCAGTACAGTAATAATAAAAATAATTATATATTTATATCGAACTTTTTCCAGTCTGCACTTGATAAGAAGTGCCTTAGGGCAGTGAGTTCACGTGGGTATGGTTTGCAACAGAAATGAGAATAATACACTGTATGTAAGACATACTACAGAGGCACATGTTCAGTTTACAAGAACCATTGTTGGCATGTCAGTAGCATCAGTGTTGGAACAACAGAGTGTTCTGAAACCATACAAGAGTTCTGTAAACTTTGATTTTCATCAAGCGATGAGTGTAGTCACATGCTTACTAAAAGACATCAAGACTCTCGTAGGCTTGTATCACTCTACAGGCTTGGTGAGATATGCATGTGTTTGAGGATGAAGTACTGAAGACAGTAAGAGGTCCTCAACTTTAAGTCAGAAGAGACCCATAGATTCAAGTGATTCAGAGTGATATTTTCTGATTTCCATGTGTTTGTTTGGTATGAGTAAAGTGACTGTCATGCTGCATTGTATTATTGTTATGGTTGTTAGGTTGACTGCAATGTGCAGTTGATTTACTGGGTTGAGCTTTGTACAGTTATTTTACTGGATTGAAAACATTGTACAGCAGTGGACAGCTGTGTTTCTGGGTTGACAACATTGTACAGTTGCTTTTCTGGGTTGACTGCTATGTACAGTTGTTTCACTGGGTTGACTGCATTGTACAGCTGTTTTACTGGGTTGACTGCATTGTACAATATTCACTGTGTTGACTGCAATGTATAGCTGTTTCACTGGGTTGACTGCATTGTACAGCTGTTTTACTGGGTTGACTGCATTATACAGCTGTTTTACTGGGTTGACTGCATTGTACAATATTCACTGTGTTGACTGCAATGTATAGCTGTTTCACTGGGTTGACTGCATTGTACAGTTGTTTTACTGGGTTGACTGCATTGTACAGCTGTTTTACTGGGTTGACTGCATTGTACAATATTCACTGTGTTGACTGCAATGTATAGCTGTTTCACTGGGTTGACTGCATTGTACAGTTGTTTTACTGGGTTGACTTCATTGTACAGTTGTTTTACTGGGTTGACTGGATTGTACAGTTGTTTTACTGGGTTGATTGCATTGTAAGCTGTTTTACTGGGTTGATTGCATTGTACAGTATTCACTGTGTTGACTGCAGTGTACAGCTATTTTACTGGGTTGACTGCAGTGTACAGTTGTTTTATTTGCTTTGCATTGTAAGCTGTTTACTGGGTTGACTGCAATGTACAGCTGTTTCACTGTGTTGACTGCAATGCACAGCTGTTTTACTGGGTTGACAGCATTGTACAGTATTCACTGGGTTGACTGCTATGTACAGCTGTTTTACTACATTGACTGCAATGTACAGCTGTTTTACTTGGTTGACTGCATTGTACAGTATTCACTGGGTTGACTGTAATGTACAGCTGTTTTACTGGGTTGACTGCATTGTATAGTGTTTTACTGGGTTGACTGCAATGTACAGCTGTTTTACTGGGTTGACTGCATTGTACAGTTGTTTTACTGGGTTGACTAATGTACAGCTGTTTTACTGGGTTAACTGCATTGTATAGTAGTTTACTGGGTTGACTGCAATGTACAGCTGTTTTACTTGGTTGACTGCACTTGTACAGTATTTACTGGGTTGACTGTAATGTACAGCTGTTTTTCTTGGTTGACTGCATTGTATAGCATTTTACTGGGTTGACTGCAATGTACAGCTGTTTTACTGGGTTGACTGCTATGTACTGTTGTTTTACTGGGTTGACTGTAATGTACAGCTGTTTTACTGGGTTGACTGCATTGTATAGTATTTTACTGGGTTGACTGCAATGTACAGCTGTTTTACTGGGTTGACTGCAATGTACAGCTGTTTTACTGGGTTGACTGCAATGTACAGCTGTCTTACTGCGTTGACTGCAATGTACAGCTGTTTTACTGGGTTGACTGCATTGTACTGTTGTTTTTCACTGGGTTGACTGTAATGTACAGCTGTTTTACTGGGTTGACTGCATGGTATAGTATTTTACTGGGTTGACTGCAATGTACAGCTGTTTTACTGGGTTGACTGCTATGTACAGCTGTTTTACTGCATTGACTGCAATGTACAGCTGTTTTACTGCGTTGACTGCAATGTACAGCTGTTTTACTTCGTTGTCTGCATTGTACAGTATTCACTGGGTTGACTGTAATGTACAGCTGTTTTACTGGGTTGACAGCATTGTATAGTATTTTACTGGGTTGACTTCTGTGTTCATATGTGTGTCAAGCTGGAACAGGAAGTGTTTACCTCACATGGAATGTTTATGGCTATTTTGAGAAGCACCCAGTCCTTGCCATCTGAGGTTTTGTCTGGCAGTGACAGCATAAGTGAACTGCTACACCTCCACATGTGATGTGGATCAATATCATCTACATATTATAATAACCTGGTACTGGGTACACTTTACACAAGAGATGGACTTTTGCAATGGACATGTGTTTAAGGTTTGCTGTATATGCATGGCCAAAATATAACTTGAATTGAAAGTATAAGGAGACACTTTTGTTGAGTTGTTGCAACTGTGTGTGATACCAAAGCAGATGGTTTGCCTTGTGACAGATCATGATAGACTCCATGCACTGTCACACGAGCGGAGGAGCTTGAGTTGTTATTGACGTTTATAAGGCATGGCACGATGCCTGCCTGCATTATGAAACGGTGATGTTTATGTTCCCTGAGACACTGGGATGAGATAATGTATTACTCCTGATTATGTTGATCAGTGCTCAGACATGTGTTTGAGAAGTAGGAAAGTATTGGAAGTATATGTTCTCTCCGTGAACAAAGATGACAGTTGTGACAATGCGTTCAAGTCTCTAGGAGTGTGCTTTCTGTACAAGTGGATTACTGTGAAGTGTTTGGAATGAGTTTGTGTCATATTTTCACAATGCAGAGGAGGGGGATTCCAAGTTGGTTTGAAGATGTGTTTGGGGACAACAACACAGTTGAGTTTGCAAGGCATTTTCTGTTTATTGACAGAAATTATTAAATTTAATATGCATCATTGTATAAACCAAGAAGGTTTGTCAGACATATCCTTCATGGTCCTTTTTTTCTCTCTCAGCAACTTGAAATTTTCTGGAAATCTATTGGAAACAATGTATAAGCTAGTAATTGTTCCATATTCTTTGTAAACACCATCCATGTTTTATTTTTCAGAGAAGGATGGCGGACAATTCCTTTGATTCGTTTGACCAGAGTACATGTAAGTACTGCAGTAGGGGATTCCCCTCTGCGCCAGTCTTTCCATGTAAACCTGAATGCTTTAGCACTGTACAGTGGATGAAGTGCTGGATTGAAGTGTACATAACTGACTCCTACCAGGGCCTTTAGCATGTTTGTTTTATTCACAATGTAAGAGCAAAGTAACATGTTGTGGTTAATCTGGAATGTATGGACAAGGTGCAGCCTGATTAAACATGTTGTAGGCTGTAATGGTTCGACCACAGTAACTGTAATTGCATATTTGTCATATTTATTTGATAAAGGAGGCGGGGACAGGACGCAGTCTTGTTTGTTAAATTGTTCGTATGGAAGTGAGATTTGTTTTCCCCCAATACTCATGAACTAATGTTTACATAACTGTAATAAGATATAATTGTATTTAATAATATGTAGTATTGGTAAATTTTTGGGGCTGAAAATTCATTTTGTAAAGATAAATACGGTGGTCTGCAAGGAAGTTTCACTAGCTTGTTGATATTTCTACTAGTTTTGTACCAGTCAACTGTTTTCTGCAAAATGTAGCAGAAGCTGATGTGACTTTAAAATCACAACCATTGTAAACAGAACATGCACACTAGACACTTCTCCTGTACAGCTGTTGGTCACTGTGCTGTTTCTGTGGAGTTTTGTCTTAGAAACTCAGCCCATACCCCATGAGTGGTTGTTTCAAAACTCACTGGACCAACTTGTGACCGTTGGCACAGAGATTTCTTGAATTTCTTGCAAAGAAAAAGTATGAAATCAATGGATCCTGTTAAAGATTACAAACATTTTTGGTTTAAAAAAAGTAGCTGTGAATTCTTATTGCAAAAGTAATACAAAGTTGTTTGAAGAAAGTCCCAATATTGGGCGAAAGAATGAGGTTTTTTTTCAAACTTGCTAAGGCCTCTTAGTTTGGAATCCTGGAACCCATTCCACAAAGCGATCTTAGCACTAAGATGATCGTAACTCCCATACTTAAACATAGACTTACGACAGTCTTAGCACTAAGATGGTCGTAACTCCCATACCTAAACATAGTCTTACAACAGTCTTAGCACTAAGATGATAGTAACTCCCATACCTAAACATAGTCTTACAACAGTCTTAGCACTAAGATGATAGTAACTCCCATACTTAAACATAGACTTACGACAGTCTTAGCACTACCATCACTTTGAGAAACAGGGCCTTGGATATTAAGTCTCTATGAATTGTAAAAACTGTGATATTGTCTCATACTGCAGTACTGTGTTGTGGTCTGTTGGCTGACTCATGTAATATCCCACAAGTATTCCTTTCTACAGGGGGCCGTGTTGTAGCCTAGTGATTAAGGCGTTCGCTCATCACACCAGACTCATGTTTGAGTCCCCACGTGGGTACAATGTGTGAAGCCCATTTCGGGTGTCTGCTGCAGTGATATTGCTGGAATATTGCTACAAGCAGCGTAAAACTAAACTAACTCACTCACTCACACACTCCTTGCTACAGGATAAAACCCGATACACTCACTCATGCACCTGTACAGACTGTAAGAGCTGGTCTGTCTTTTCTTTCAGTGATGGAGGGAGACTTGAAGACTGAGTCAAGTCCTACAAGCAACCAGCAGTTTTCCTTTCAGCGAACCAACAGCACCGGCTGTGTCTCCTCAGCCTCCTCTGCTCAAAATACAGGTAAAACAAAGGCATATCTCCGTAGTCACCTCATATCTTGCTGTGTGTGAGCATGATTGTTTTTAACACTAGTGTGGATTTCATCACTGATTCATGTGGAAAATAATCTGCATCCTATGTATCCTGAGAGAATTCATTTGTCTGAAATGTAAGTAATTTTCCTCTAAGATCTTCCAAAGTTCTCTAAGGATAATTTCTACCTTGTTTTTCAAGTAACCTTACCTAACCACCTTTCACTTATTTCAGCTTCAATAAGAATAATAAAAAACATCATTTATTGCTCATATGATCTGACAGTTTGCTGCTTGAAGCAGTAGTACTGGTTCAAGGATCAAACAGTCCTTCACCTTCTCGTATAGTAAGTAAACTCATGAAATTTGTGACTTGAGATGCCTCTATTAGTGAACTTTAACCAAGAGTTCACCCAAGTCTGTTGTCTGAAACACATGTTTTAGTATTTTGCCCAACAGACTGTGTTAACCTTGTATACATATAGATCACAGAAGCTGGATTAGTGCAGCTGTATGTGTTTGAGCCCTATTGTCTAGGATACTGTGATTTGCTGTGTTTAGTTTGGTTGGCCACCTATTGCCCATGGCCATGTTCCTTTAAACTGTCATCAGGTGTCCTCCCACATCAAACTAAACTACTGGGATTTACTGACATGCTGTTCAGTGTCATGTGTTGCCAAACTGACCCACTCCAACATGACCTGTTATTCTTTCATACTCAATACAGCTGATCACTTTGTGTTGATATAGAACATGAATGAGTATTATGCCTCACTTCAAGGTCAGCATCGTTGTGTATGGTTGCCATGTGATTGCATCATCAGTTCTTCCAGAACTGTTTGACATATAAAATATGGAATCAAGAGTTGAGTGAATGGCCTGAAAATTGATGAGACTGCTAATGATTTCTTTACTTGTATGCTGGCACTATCTTGTTGAATGTTATTGATTGCTGGGGATTGCCATGGTGTAGTCAACAGAACCTTGTTTAGTTTGTTGTACGGCATTATTGGAACGTTTCACTGTTGTTTGGAAACAGTTGGAATTAGCTGTGCATTGTTTGGTTAGGGATGTCAGCTAATGATACATCATGACCAACAATAGAAGTTATGCATTGACAGCCTTCTTCTTCTATATCCTTCATGTAAATATTATTAATACACAAGACAACTTTCAAAGAATGTTCATAACCAAATCTATAATGGAACTTAGGCAATAGTACTTGTCCTGAAGCCTTGCATTGTGTACAGGTTGAACTCAACTTTAAGATCAGCCAGAAACGTAATTTCAATACATCTATGTACTTGGCGTAAGAATAATTGTTACTTTTATGGCCAACTCAGTGGTCAGTCATCCACCCAGAATATATGGAACAACTATATTCAGTTTCTATTTATTATTCTCCATCTGTCTTGCTCGGTGTGTTTGTATTTTTGATGTGAAGTTGTTGAACTCTGTGTACTTACTATGGACATATTGTATGCTGGTTGGTGATTGAGCAGGATAGACAAATTCCAGGGTTAATGATTAGTCATTAATTAATTGGTTAGTGCTGATGCTGTTAGTGAAAAATCACAAATCGTTTCACTACCCATCTCAGACACATAATACATGCTTTAGTGATCCTTATCTGTTCTACCCGTGAAGGTCCGGGTTAGAATATTGATCTTCAGTAACCTATGCTTGTCATACGAGGCGACTAACGAGATCGGGTGGTCATGCTCGCTGACTTAGTTGACTCATGTCATCAGTTGACACAGTGCAGATCGATCATGTTCCTGGTCACTGGATTGTCTGGTCCAGACTTGATTATTTACAGACCGCCGCCATATAGCTGGAATATTGTAGAGTGTGGCGTAAAACTTAACTCACTCACTCACTTATCTGTTCACTCCAGTCTATAATTCACTAGTACACTTTACACCAATACTATTCAGTTCTCCACTAGTGCACTTTACAACAATAATTTTCGTTCTCTCCATTATTCTTTTCAACAATACTATTCATCTCTTCACCACTGCAATACTATTCGTCTCTTCATCAGGCCACATGTTTTGTCAGTTCACATGTAAAGTAGTTACGTTACTGGGACATCTCACAAATATGTCTGAAGAGAAATGCCAAATTTGAGAATATAATCTCATCCTGATTACCCTCTTTAACAAGCTTGATTCCAGTTTTATTTATGTTTTGATCACCGAACAAACACTTTTTATATTTTTTTGTAAATAAGCGACTCACTGTTGACACTATTTAAACACAATTGGAAATTAATGCAAATAGACAGTTCATGTTTAGGAGGGATTATGGGATAGCCTAGTGGTTAAAGTTTTTGCCAAAGACCAGGGTTCGATTCTCCACATGGGTGTGTGTGAAGGCCATTGCTGGTGTTCCCCACAGTGATATTGCTATAATTTAACTAAAAGCATCATAAAACCAAACTCACTCACTCACTCATGTTATGGTCCTCACATGTGAGCAGTATTGACATCGCTGTTAATGGCATTTCATCACCCTCTCAGCACATCCTATCAGTCTGTGACTTTAGCCCCAACTCTCTGTCTCATAATTCTTTTCCTGTCTGGTAAGCTTTGATGGTATATGTGCAAACATTAACACTGATTTACTGGAGACAATGTCAAGTGACCAGTCCGGCATGGTACACTCCTGTATCAGTCTGTATTTATGGCAGGGAATGGTCCTTGTGTATCCTTCTCGGCTCATGCCATGTACTTAGTATAGTGATATGGTTAAACACTTTGTTAAAGAAAATGTTACAAATACAATGTTGATCTACAGTGAAGCATAGTTTTACTCTGACCTACAATGCTAGTGATCTTGGAACCCCAATAATATATTTCAAGTGTTCATGCAGGAAGCAGAGGTCCTGTATAGTAATAAAATGGTGTAATGTGGGGTACCGTTAGTTGAACATTACTAATCAGATACAAGACCTTACTCTTTCTATGAAATTAGGTACAGTGAAACTATATATTTTTCAGTGTTTATTCTGTACCTTAGTGTATACTGGATGCACATATCAGCATTGTGTGAAGCCTGGTGATTGAGAGTGAGAATATATATGATGTTCCCTGTCCACCCTGATGTCCCCATGCACCCCGATGTCCCCTGACTACCCCGATGATCCTGACGACCCTGATGTCCCCATCCACCCTGATGACTCTGACCACCCAGATGTCCCCTGTCCATCCCGATGTCCCCTGTCCACCCCAATGTCCCCTGTCCACCCTGATGTGCCCTGATGTCCCCTGGCCACCCAGATGTCCCCTGATGTCCCCTGACCACCCACATGTCCCCTGACCACCCTGTCCTCTGACCACCCAGATGTCTCCTGGCCACCCTGATGTCCCCTGACCACCCTGTCCTCTGACCACCCAGATGTCCCCTGACCACCCTGATGTCCCCTGACCACCCACATGTCCCCTGACCACCCTGTCCCCTGACCACCCCAGTCCCCTGACCACCCTGATGTCCCCTGACCACCCAGATGTCCTCTGACCACCCAGATGTCCCCTGGCCACCCCAGATGTCCCCTGACCACCCTGTCCTCTGACCACCCAGATGTCCCCTGACCACCCTGATGTCCCCTGACCACCCACATGTCCCCTGACCACCCTGTCCTCTGACCACCCAGATGTCCCCTGACCACCCTGATGTCCCCTGACCACCCAGATGTCCCCTGACCACCCAGATGTCCCCTGACCACCCTGATGTCCCCTGACCACCCACATGTCCCCTGACCACCCTGTCCTCTGACCACCCAGATGTCCCTGGCCACCCTGATGTCCCCTGACCACCCTGTCCTCTGACCACCCAGATGTCCCCTGGCCACCCTGATGTCCCCTGACCACCCACATGTCCCCTGACCACCCCACCCAGATGTCCCCTGACCACCCTGATGTCCCCTGACCACCCTGTCCCTCCCCCTGACCCCTGGCCCAGATGTCCCCTGACCACCCCCCCTGACCACCCACATGTCCCCTGACCACCCTGTCCTCTGACCACCAGATGTCCCCTGGCCACCCTGATGTCCCCTGACCACCCAGATGTCCCTGGCTGACCACCCTGATGTCCCCTGACCCTGACCCCTGACCACCCTGTCCCCTGTCCCCTGACCACCCAGATGTCCCCTGACCACCCTGTCCTCTGACCACCCACCCCTGATGTCCCCTGATGTCCCCCCTGGCCACCCTGATGTCCCCTGACCACCCAGATGTCCCCTGACCACCCTGATGTCCCCTGACCACCCACATGTCCCCCTGACCACCCACATGTCCCCTGACCACCCAGATGTCCCCTGACCACCCCTGTCCCACCACCCAGATGTCCCCTGGCCACCCAGATGTCCCCTGACCACCCACATGTCCCCTGACCACCCTGTCCTCTGACCACCCAGATCTCCCCTGACCACCCTGTCCTCTGACCACCCAGATGTCCCCTGGCCACCCTGATGTCCCCTGACCACCCACATGTCCCCTGACCACCCTGTCCTCTGACCACCCAGATGTCCCCTGGCCACCCACATGTCCCCTGACCACCCTGATGTTCTCTGGCTACCCTGATTACCCTGACCACCTCGATGTCCTCTGGCCATCCAGATGTCCCCTGTGCACCCAGATGTCCCCTGGCCATCCAGATGTCTCCTGACCACCCAGATGACCCCATCCACCCTGATCACCCTGACCACCCAGATGTCCCCTGTCCCATCACGATGTCCCCTGTCCACTGTCCTCTGACCACCCAGATGTCCCCTGGCCACCCACATGTCCCCTGACCACCCCGTCCTCTGACCAACCTGATGTTCTCTGGCCACCCTGATGACCCTGACCACCTCGATGTCCTCTGGCCATCCAGATGTCCCCTGTGCACCCAGATGTCCCTGACCAATGTCCCCTGACCACCCTGGCCACCCTGATGACCTTGTCCATCCAGATGACCCTGCCCACCCCAATGTCCCCTGATGACCCTGTCCATCCGAATGTCCCCTGCCCACCCCAGTGTCCCCTGATGACGCTGTCCACTCCAATGTCCCCTGCCCACCCTGATGACCCTGCCCAGCCCAATGTCCCCTGATAACCCTGTCCACCCCAATGTCCCCTGCCCACCCTGATGACCCTGACCACCCAGATGACCTGACCACGGAGATATCCCCCCCACCTCCTGATGACCCTGTCCACCCCAATGTCCCCTGCCCACCCCAGTGTCCCCGATGACCCTGTCCACCCCAATGTCCCCTGCCCACCCTGATGACCCTGCCCAGCCCAATGTCCCCTGATAACCCTGTCCACCCCAATGTCCCCTGCCCACCCTGATGACCTTGACCACCCAGATGACCTGACCACGCAGATATCCCTGTCCCCTTTCCACCCAGATGTGCCCTGATGTCCCCTGACCAAATAGATGCCCCTTGACCGCCTTGATGTCCACCCATATGTCCGCTGTCCACCTAGTTGTCCCCTGGCCACCCTGATGTCCCCTGACCACCTCGATGTCTTCTGGCCACCCAGATATCCCTTGTCCACCCAGATGACCCTGACGACCCTGGCCACCCTGATGACCTTGTCCACCCAGATGACCCTGCCCACCCCAATGTCCCCTGATGACCCTGTCCACCCCAATGTCCCCTGCCCACCCTGATGACCCTGCCCACCCCAGTGTCCCCTGATGACGCTGTTCACTCCAATGTCCCCTGCCCACCCCAATGTCCCTGATAACCCTGTCCACCCCAATGTCCCCTGCCCACCCTGATGACCCTGACCACGCAGATAACCTGACCACGCAAATATCCCCGACCACCCTGATGACCCTGACCACCCAGATGACCCTGCCCACCCTGATAACCCTGACCACCCAGATGTCCCCTGCCCACCCAGATGACCCAGATGTCCCCTGCCCACCCAGATGACCCTGCCCACCCAGATGACCCAGATGTCCCTGATGACCCCAACCACCCTGATGACCCTGACCACCCAGATGACCCTGATGACCCTGACCACCCAGATGTCCCCTGCCCACCCAGATGACCCAGATGTCGCCTGCCCACCCAGATGACCCTGATGACCCTGACCACCCAGATGACCCTGATGACCCTGACCACCCAGATGACCCCTGACCACCCAGATGACCCTGATGACCCTGACCACCCAGATGACCCTGATGTCCCCTGCCCACCCAGATGACCCTGATGACCCTGACCACCCAGATGACCCCTGCCCACCCAGATGACCCTGATGTCCCCTGACCACCCCTGAGATGACCCTGCCCACCCTGATGACCCTGTCCACCCAGATGACCCCTGACCCCTGTCCACCCTGATGACCCTGACCACCCAGATGTCCCCTGCCCACCCTGATGACCCTGACCACCCTAATGACCCTGATGACCCTGTCCACCCTGTCCCCTGTCCACCCAGATGTCCCTCCCTGCCCCTGCCCACCCTGATGACCCTGATGACCCTGCCCACCCTGATGATGATGACCACCCTGATGACCCTAACAACCCTGACCACCCAGATGACCCTGACCATGCAGATATCCCCGACCACCCTGATGACCCTGATGACCCAGGCCCCCTAACCACCCAGATGTCCCCTGACCACCCTGATGACCCTGTCTGCCCAGATGTCCCCCAACCACCTCAATGTCACCTGTCCCCTGTCCACCCTGATGTCCCCAGTGATAATGTAGAGATATTGATTCCAGGGTGTGTGATGGGATGTACATTGCGACAGTATTGATCTGCGATACACTACAAATGTTCTTCATCCACAAGCATTCTTCAACAATAGTTGAATCAACAGACATCTTCTCATGTGTGGTTTGTCTTACACCGTTGTAATCAGAGTGATAGCAGGAATGCTAATTGTTTGCCGTATCAGTGGGTTGTCACGTGGCGCGAGCGGGAAGAAGCAGTGCTCACTGTCGTGCTCTCCGGATGCCAGCACTCTGTTCCACTTGTGACAGGGATGAGCAAACACATGGCATCGGCGTTGCATCACTTCGGCTCACTAAGATCAATAATACTGAGTTGAGGACAGGGAGTTGTGTATTCAAGGGACAATTAGAAAGAGTAACTTGAATAGAAAACAAAGAAGTAGTTACATAAATTTTATTCTTAGTTTTTAATGAGTTTTTTGTGCTGCAATAATACTTAGGTACAAGCTTTATACAAGTCCAGTTCCAAGGTCAGTTTTACAAGTCAGTAAAGGCAGATATATAATGAATGAGGCATGAAACTGACACCCAGAAATCATGTAATGTCAACATTAGGTTATGTATGTCCAGTCTTTCAAGTTTTAGAGAAGTTAAAATAGTCAGTTTCCCATGGTGTGGTAATCTAGTTTTGAGTCATCCAGAGTGTAATGATTGTTAAACCTAGGGATGAGTGATGACCAGTCATGGTGCTGTGAGCTGATACTTGGTAAAGTCCATGTATAAGGTGTAGTTCACTGGTGGTTCATAACAGTTAGGAGAAGACGATGCAGAGCTTCAGAAGATTACCCTTCTGTATTGCATGTTTCACTGAATATTAAAGGAGCTAAATAGATTTGTGCCCTTGGTGCCACATTTGTGTCAGTAGGTCAATCTAACAATCTTACAACATAAAGTTGGTTGGTTTGTTGTTTAATGCTGCACTCAGCAATATTCCACCTATCTGTAAATAATTGAGTCTGGACCAGACAATCCAGTGATCAACAGCATGAGCATCATGATGACTCATACGACATAAAGCCTGTACTTGATGCTACATCCTTGACGACTTACAAGCACACTCACATTCAGGCAAGGGTATAGAAGACTTACATCCTGCAATAAGCAGTGTAATATGTAGGTTTATTACATCACGACTAACTTTCCTTTCATCTGATTGGCTAAATAGTCCCATGCATGACTTGACACAGCGTTACGTAACCCACATGTGAGGTTAATATAACAATCCGGAGACCCCACTCCGCTGAAAATATTAGGTGTACCATAGTGTAAACTCTAGAGGTGTGACAATGCGGAAATGTCACGATACGATACGTATCGCGATATCTTGGAACGATACGATTCGATTCGATGCATATCACGATATCCTATCTTTAGTTATTTTCTTTAAAAAAGTCTATTTTGATAGCAAGTAACAGTGTAAATTTTTACATAACCGTCAATTTCTAGTGAACATTAACATTTTTTAGGTCAACGATACATATCACGATACGAACAAAAATATCGATATATATATCGTCTGATAAAGTATCATGATTATCGATACTACGATATATCGTCACAGCTCTAGTAAACTCCTGATCCTGCATGTCTGTTGCAACTGCACTATATGTTCCTATGACAATACTGATTCAGGACCCCTGAAAATCTCGATTCAAATTGATCTTTAGTAACCCATGCTTGCCGCAAGAGGCGACTAACAGGATCGGGTGGTCAGGCACGCTGAATTGGTTGACACATGTCAATCCCAATTGTGTAGATTGATGCTCATACTGTTGATCACTGGTATGTTTGGTCCAGACTCGATTTACAGACCGCCACCATATAGCTGGAATTATGCAAAGTGTGGCATAAAACTAAACTCACTCACCCTCACTCACTGATTCAGAGTTGCTTCCCTTTTCAAACAATTGAGATGAAAAGGGTGAATGATGAAGCACACTGTAGTAGTTTTATCTAACAGTTTATTATATGTAGTTTTGTGTCATGTAATAAAACAGTCATTGACTTCACTTGAGGTTGATCCAGTGATTTATCAACCTTGGACAAGTGATATTCACCGGTGATGATGACCCTGTAGAGAGTCTGTTCCCTTGGCATGAGGTCACTATAAGATGAAAGCTGTTTGCTATGTTGTTTATGGACATGTGATATCTAATGTATGAACACTTGGTGATAATCATTAAAACTCCTGAGCAAACTTCTCAGTTTTATATATTTATTGACTTGTGTTGATATGTTTAATATATAAAATTCTCTGTATGCCAACAAGCAACACTTTCATTCCCTCCTGATGTCAGATTTATCAATTGTGAAATTTGGCAACTCGAAGACAAATGTAAGACAAAGGATGATTCAAATAATAATTTCAAAATGATATTGAGGGTTAACCGTGACTTACATATATTGTTTTAAGATAAAGATAGGCTAAACATATGAGTCAGTATATCAGCATCTTTATTTGTTAAGCACAACATTTCAGAGTTAATTCAAACCTTTCTTCAGGTGGAGGAGTCAGAATTAACTCAGACATGCAAAGAATTTAATATCCAACATCCTCTTGGCATGTACTTGTATTGATGTTGTGATGAATCTGTTGTTACAGACGATGAAGACAGTGACACCAGCAAGACCCTAACTTACAAGGACAGGCGGCGGGAAGCCCACACAGTCGCGGAACAGAAACGCAGAGATGCCATCAAGGTAATGACTGTACACAGTAAAGATCTCTCAGATAACTTTATAAAGTGTTTTGATGGAACATCTTGTGTTTGACTGATACATTTAAGGTGTCAGTTTTCTGTTCAGGTTGCCGAAATTTAACTCACCAGAGCCTATTCAATCCTAATTCACCCCAGAGTTATAATCACAACAAATATCATGGCTTACCAAAAACATCGGACCACGGATCAAGGAGGTGCATGATATAATTCAAAGTGAATTAAATATTTTCTTCACTAGTTTTTTGGACTTCTTGTCTTGGAAGGAGCAGATGTTTTATCTGTCCTGTTTTCCTTGAAGCATACATTGATTTATGTGCTGATCCTTTGATCCATAGCCAGTAGAACTAGCATAGTGGCCCTTTAGGCAGTTGATTCACACAACAACTAGATTGTCATGTCTTTAAGGTGGTAGCACTCCCTCCAGTGTAGATAGTGGAAACCTATGGGTTAAGTTTAACTAACACATTAAAAGAGGTTACACCTTATGTCAGGGTTGGTAGGATAGCTCTGTTCAACTTTGGAAACCTTATGTTTCGGGGAACAGTATGGAACTACTGCCCTGAGTACTTGCTCACCTTACAAAGGAGGATCTGTATTAACTGGGCCTGTATAACAGTTATAGCAATGTTTCATGTGCAGTTTTGGTTTTGGTTAATCTCTGAAATAATCTCTGGCTGAGACCATTATTACAAATGTTTTTGGCACAAACTGCTGACAAACTTAAACAAGCTTGAATAAAGAAGTTAACTGCCCATACTGTATTATTTCATTGTAACTTATCTTAATATGATGCCTCTTAAAGACTTAGATGGAGAGTTTTGTTTGTCCACAGAAAGGGTACGACGAGCTGCTGAGTATCGTGCCCACGTGCCAACAGCCAGACACGCTGAGTGGACAGAAGATGAGCAAGGCCACTGTGCTGCAGAGATGTAAGATATCATCCTGTGTAAATAGCTTGCTTTGTTTGGTCAGGAAGTGTATTCAACAAAATCTGTTGAAGGAATATTGTTCCTTGTATGTTTCTGAAACATTGTGTTTAGTGTTTCGCTGATTAGATAACATTGTCATCCCACTCAGATAGTTACAGGAGGCAGCATTTAGGGTAGATAAAGGAAGGGAAATAACACTTTGTTACTTGAAGTTCATGGTAATCTCAGCTTAGAGGTTTTACTTGTGTACAATACACATTTCTTTGAGACATGTTACATATTGTGATGGACTATTCCATGGTGAGAAGGCCTTTAAGAAATTTAGCAAAGGTTACCTGCTTGGTCCAGTTATAAATCTCCTTAAAAGAATTCTTAAAACTTTCTACACAGTGAAATGTTTGTGTCTTCAGCTATTGAATACACCCTGTGTTTGTGTCTTCAGCTATTGAGTACACCCTGTGTTTGTGTCTGCAGCTATTGAATACACCCTGTCAGGGTTCGGAAAAAAATTAAAATCTGCACTCGCCCTGCAGGGGCGAGTAATATGAAATTTCCACTTGCCCTATGCAACATAATGAAAGTAAATTTAAATAATTTTATTTCAAAATGTTTGCTTGGAATAAAACGACAATAACATTACTTACTTTGTCTGCTAATTCGCTCACCATTTAAGATAGCTGAACTTCATATAAAAATAAAAATGTTACTTCCCTTGGCTTTGTAAGACAATACGCAGTTCAGATTTGAAATATTTGAGAAAACTAGCGGATTACAAATCAACGTAGTGGATATTGTAAACCCAACAAAGAATGAAATAGTGAACTATATTACCTTGTTGAAAATATCAATGACACCTGGCAAGTGCGTTTAATAAATGACAGGATTTTTAAAACATTAGATTAAATTAAAATTTCCACCTCATCCGTTTAACTCTTTCAACATCAGTCAACCAGAGGCATTTACTGCCATGACACCGAGTTCCCAGAGACCCTGAGATCTTAGAGGAAGCCTGTGTTTACCAAGGAAAATATCAGCTTGTAAAACATTACTGCTACTACATATCATACACCATTTGAAAGATCTAATACTTCTGTTTATAAATATGAAATATATATGTTTTATCATATTATTCAAATAATACAACTTCAACGTAAATAAGTTAATATTTAATGAAAATGCAAGCTTACTTTCCAGATAAACCACGAAGGGAGCAAAAAATGCGGCGATTTTTCCATTTGTAACATGTCATACTATCCCCTTACCTTTTCTTATATATTTTCATTTTGACGTGATCGGAAAATTATTATAAAACGATCTCTCAAATAATATGTATGGTCGTCTATTTCCCAATATCAGTAGCTTTCCGCTCGGTAACGTGATACAACAGCATGAAATACCTCAGTTTTGGAAGCTTCTTACGGATAACATGTGAGGCAATTTGTTTGATGGCAGGAATCGTTCAAAAGCTCTGAACATCAACACTATCACTGCACCCTTGCCAAGAGTATTGTCGCAGTTGTAAGAAGCGATTTTGGGGATAAAGATTGGTTTCTAATGACGCTTTTCTCCCACAGTCTGCTATGAGGATCTGATTGGACAAACTTATGCATGTGACCTAAGGCAGCCAATCATATTGCAGCAATGGATAGTATACTCGTAAACGAAAACTTTTAGATTCAGACGAAGGTTTTGGGTAAAAGCATGTTATTCTGAACGTGTTACGCAAAAAATCACCACCTATACGTATATTATGGAACTTAGTGGACGTATCGTGCTCGGCTATAACCATTGACAAAAATGCTTCATGCATATATATTAGCATTAAACATCGTGTCCGAGCCAAAGTTCGAGGCGACAAAGCCGAGATGTCACTTGATATAATAAAATTACACGATCTCACAAAAAAAATGGAAATAGTAAGTTATAATGTACATTTGACAACTTTTATGAGTACTGTTATTGATTTTATTCCTCGGTTTATTAAATTTGTTTAATTATTATCTCGAAACATCGTTACTTTGATAACGATCGGTAATAACAATCAGGGAATTCCCAAGTTTCAAGCTGATCCGACAACATTCATGTTGTGACGATTTTTCTCATTGGAAAGTTTATTAATTATAGCCAATCAGGATATTCGAAGCACTTAGGTTACAAAAACACGCTGCCTGATATCTGTTGAGAAAGGATACCAAACGAACATCAAGACTTAAACTTTGCGGTTAGTTTTCGGGGAATTTGAAAATACTGCTAATGGGGAATGACAATGTTAAAACTTTATCTTATTGTTTTGAAAAATAGTTGGATCAGAAAACGTACTCGTCCTGTAGGACGAGCAAATTATTTTTTTCTACCTGAAACAAATTTTACTCGTCAATACGAGGGGACAATCGGAATTTTCGAGCCCTGCCTGTGTTTGTGTCTTCAGCTATTGAGTACATCCTGTGTTTGTGTCTGCAGCTATTGAATACACCCTCTGTTTGTATTCAGCTATTGAATACACACTGTTTGTGTCTGCGGCTATTGAGTACACCCTGTATTTGTGTCTGCACCTATTGAGTACACCTTGTGTTTGTGTCTCCAGCTATTGAATACACCCTGTGTTTGTGTCTTCAGCTATTGAATACATGCTGTGTTTGTGTCTTCATCTATTGAATACATCCTGTGTTTGTGTCTTCAGCTATTGAATACACCCTGTGTTTGTGTCTGCAGCTATTGAATACATGCTGTGTTTGTGTCTGCAGCTATTGAATACATGCTGTGTTTGTGTCTGCAGCTATTGAATACACGCTGTGTTTGTGTCTTCATCTATTGAATACACTGTGTTTGTGTACACCCTGTGTTTGTGTCTTCAGCTATTGAATACACCCTGTGTTTGTGTCTTCAGCTATTGAATACACCCCGTGTTTGTGTCTGCAGCTATTGAATACAAGCTGTTTGTGTCTTCATCTATTGAATACACCCTGTGTTTGTATCTTCAGCTATTGAATACACCCGTGTTTGTGTCTGCAGCTATTGAATACATGCTGTGTTTGTGTCTGCAGCTATTGAATACACCCTGTGTTTGTGTCTTCATCTATTGAATACACCCTGTGTTTGTGTCTTCAGCTATTGAATACACCCTGTGTTTGTGTCTGCAGCTATTGAATACACGCTGTGTTTGTGTCTTCATCTATTGAATACATCCTGTGTTTGTGTCTGCAGCTATTGAATACACCCTGTGTTTGTGTCTGCAGCTATTGAATACACCCCGTGTTTTGTGTCTTCAGTCTGTGTTTGTGTCTGCAGCTATTGAATACACCCTGTGTTTGTGTCTGCAGCTATTGAATACACGCTGTGTTTGTGTCTTCATCTATTGAATATACCCTGTGTTGGCGTCTTCAGCTATTGAATACACCCTGTGTTTGTGTCTTCAGCTATTGAATACACCCCGTGTTTGTGTCTGCAGCTATTGAATACACCCTGTGTTTGTGTCTCCAGCTATTGAATACATGCTGTGTTTGTGTCTGCAGCTATTGAATACACGCTGTGTTTGTGTCTTCATCATCACCCTGTGTTTGTGTCTTCATCTATTGAATATACCCTGTGTTTGTGTCTTCAGCTATTGAATACACCCTGTGTTTGTGTCTTCAGCTATTGAATACACCCCGTGTTTGTGTCTGCAGCTATTGAATACAAGCTGTTTGTGTCTTCATCTATTGAATACAAGCTGTTTGTGTCTTCATCTATTGAATACACGCTGTGTTTGTATCTTCAGCTATTGAATACAACCCGTGTTTGTGTCTTCATCTATTGAATACATCCTGTGTTTGTGTCTTCATCTATTGAATACACCCCGTGTTTGTGTCTTCATCTATTGAATACATCCTGTGTTTGTGTCTTCATCTATTGTGTTTGTGTCTACACCACCCTGTGTTTGTGTCTTCATCTATTGAATACATGCTGTGTTTGTGTCTTCATCTATTGAATACACCCTGTGTTTGTGTCTTCATCTATTGAATACACCCAGTGTTTGTCTTCATCTATTGAGTACACCCTGTGTTTGTGTCTTCATCTATTGAATACACCCCGTGTTTGTGTCTTCAGCTATTGAATACAAGCTGTTTGTGTCTACAGCTATTGAATACATCCTGTGTTTGTGTCTTCTGCAGCTATTGAATACATCCTGTGTTTGTGTCTGCAGCTATTGAGTACATCCTGTGTTTGTGTCTGCAGCTATTGAGTACATCCAGTGTTTGTGTCTGCAGCTATTGAGTACATCCAGTGTTTGTGTCTGCAGCTATTGAGTACATCCTGTGTTTGTGTCTCCAGCTATTGAATACATCCTGTGTTTGTGTCTTCAGCTATTGAATACAAGCTGTTTGTGTCTTCAGCTATTGAGTACATCCTGTGTTTGTGTCTGCAGCTATTGAGTACATCCTGTGTTTGTGTCTGCAGCTATTGAGTACATCCAGTGGCTAATTGGGCAGAAGAAGAAGCAGGAGGATGAGCTGGACTCCCTCAGGAAGGAAGTGATGGCTCTCAAGATTATGAAGGCGTAAGTTTTAACTCTAATTAACTTATCAATGAAGGGTACGATGAATTAACTTTATGATACAGGCTGAAATTTTATCAGTAAAGTGGCCAAAAAGTTTCCCTTGTCTTTCTCAAACTGTGGGAAGAGGATGGTTTGATGGCGCAGAGAGTTGAAGAGATCTGTTCGTTCAGTCATGACACATGGCACTGTGTGACAGACTACCAAGGCTGTAGACTGATGCACTTTGTGCCCATCAACTACCCTAAGAAGTTCACTATGACAAACCTCTTGTGCCCTGTTCCTTGTCCCCACTGAAGATGATACGTATTGCGATACGCTGATCGAAAACCGGTATTTTGACATGCATTCGGAAAACTTCGTAACACTCGGAAATCTTCGGATATTTCCGTTTTTTAATTGTTCCTTTCCTTGCTTCATTTGTGTCAAACATTATTTACATATTTAGTTTGTCTTAAATTCTCTGCAATACCCATAGGCACTGGTCAGTGAATCATAAAGTCTTTCAGCAGTTTGTCTCCACCACAGTTGATTATTTACCAGCTGCTCTGATGTTTCGCGGCTACAGCATTAAACACTAAACAGACCGGCTTGACGTGCATTCATTAAGGTGACATCCCACATCTATTTCAACATAGGCTGTCACATATAGAGGATGATGTAAGGCATGATGTACAGGTATGCGGCACTGATAGCAAAACTTTACCTGCATCTGAATCACTTGCCTCCAAATGCATTTTTCCAAAAAATAAAGTTTGGATAAAGACTCCAGCAGACACAACAGCTGTTGCCTAGTCATGTTTGTATATATATACAGTATCCTGCTTTTCTGGTTGCAGGAACTACGAGCACATTGTGAAGACACACCAGAACACTCCAGTCCAAGGCCAGAACCAGGTGTCGGATGAGGTCAAGTTCCAAGTGGTCAGTATAACTTTCACATTTCAGAGCCTCATGTTTACTGTAGAAACTGTTGTATGTGTGTCAGGTACTATACTACTATTGTACCAAATCCAGCCATAACACATTATGTCATGAATTGTTACTGATGCTTCCAGTAGTCAGGGCCTGGCCAGGTGTCAGAGGAGAGACTGACTGATGTGACTAGTTTGCTCAGTTATGGCTCTGACAGACTATGGGGTACTCAGGGTCAATCTTTCATTCAGACCCACAGCCATGATCCTGGCTTGTCTATGTAAAGGCATTTACCTTGTGGATTTCCTAGCCACTGTTGTTGCCATATGCAGATACTGCTTGGAAAAAAACCTCAATGGTCAACTGGTTTCCAGTAAGAACTGATAGCCAGGACCAAATACTTGTTGTGCGATGAAATTAATGAGGATGAACTGTGGTGCAGCCGTGGCATGGAGCAGGGCTTGTGCTATAAACCACACATTTGCCTGAAAATGATTCGCTTCTGTACAGGCAAATTTGTAGAATGTGTAAACTTCTTCACTCACACTCCCCAAGATTCCTGTGCTTCCTTTATTAACCATTATTTTGTTTTCTCAGTTCCAGCAGATCATGGACACACTGTTCCAGTCGTTCAATGCCTCCATCTCAGTGGCCAACTTTGCAGAGTTGTCAGCATGTGTGTTCAGTTGGCTGGAGGAGTACTGCAAGCCACAGGTGAGTCAGGGCACTAGGTCCACACTGGAAGATTACAATACAGATATAAACCTACTGTCATTTTACTGTAGAGCTGTCTTGCCTGGATCTTTGGTAGAACCTTAGTTTTGAACCTCAGGCAGCTGCATTTAGTTTCCAATTTCATTGACTTGACATATATATATTTAACATGGCCATAAGGACAGAAGTTGATTCCTTTATCAAGCCAATGATCTACAACTGGTTTTCACATTGGTATAGGTACTCGGCATCATTATTAAGGGGTCACACAGATAATAGGATATATGTTATAAAAAGTGTTGCATTTTTTACTTTTAATAACATTGTCAACATACTCAGTCATATTAGCCCATGCTGGTGTATGTTGATGTTTGACATCCTAAGTAGTATACACAATATAGCGGGAACGGGACCGTATAGGTGCACCAAGTCTATAAGCTCCAAACTAGCCAATTCGGCTCCCAGAGTCACAATTTGTTTTAGTGTTTTGCACAAAACTGCATTTGAGTTTTTGGACCACATTTTGTTTGCATTGCTTTTTCTTTGTGCTTCCCAGTAGTCTTTCCAACCCCAAGACAGGTATTCGGAAACAAGTGCACTCAAATTAGAGATACACTAAGTACATAGGTATAGAACACAACAAAATGCCCGGAACCCAGCTATCGCGCGAAGCCTATGCCGAGATCCAATCCAGTCGTTTGTCCCTTCGGGAAGCGAAGAGGAAGTACCACATATCGCAAGCCCGATGTACACGAATCCAAGGTGGCATAGACCCCGAGCCATGACAACGACAACTTCTGACATGGCCGAAGTCTTCGAAAGCCTGCTGGAGAAGTGACCCCACGTATTGCTCGCGGACCGAGAGAAACAAATCCTGGAGCAATCGGGACACACCTTCTACGAGCGCTACCAGATCCCTCGCCAGTTTCTGGGAACTGTATTTGGTGTGTTTTCGCCCATTCGTCGAAGACGGCAAAATAGTGGATTTCGTCAACCTCTACCCACCCAACCAATTTCGACCCGCAGCAGGCAAACTCCGAATCCTTCTCAACGACGACTACTGTTGCCCGGAACCCAAGGACAGATACAACCGATGCACTGACTGCCTGGCCGCCATATCGGAACTCCCCGCTCTCTTCGGACCCGACAAATCTACGTGCAAGTGTGGCGCCATTGACCACTGCGTCGACAGCAAGAAATGCGTTCTCTGGAAAAAGAAAGCGATAGACTACACACCCCAGGAACGACTCCCACTCGAGGTTCCAGAAGGAATAGCGATCCCCTACTGTCTCTCGAACATAGAGAACCTGTAATACGACGCTTGCGCTTTCTGGAGCATACGGTACACACTCCTCCTTGACAAATTGGTGGACCATTCTCCATGCAAGAAGAAAGATTCTTGTCTCTTCCGACAGCATCGGGAAAGCAGAGCTACCACAGGGATGGGGACGGCATACTGCCCCCTTGCCCAACTACGGCGGGCGCAAAGGATATGGAAGTGGCAGTCCCTCCGTGCAGCGAACACCAAAATGCTGCAGACGTTCCGGAAGGAATCTACACATGCAAAAAGTTTGCCGTAGCGGAATACAAAGGGAAGAACCGACTGTTGCTGCTTCTCGATTCGCCAACTGGAGAAACGATTCCAGTCTACGGCTACAATATACGAGAAACTATTCGAGACGCCGGCGGAATAGAACGCCTATGGTTGGTGAGTGGACTGTTTCTGTGCAGGCTCGGCAAAATCTGCCACTCGCCCATATCGAAAAAGAAAGACGATCGAGAAGTCAAATTGCTGCTTCTAGAGACCGAGCGGGAATAGCTTTTTCTATCCAGAAACAAACAAAAAAAGACAACACACACGCACACATCCCAAAATGAGGACCAAACCCCTTTTGCAGTCTTTGTGGCAAAAGTGGACATCTCCGAAATCGTCCGACTCAAAGAGAAATCTAGAAACAAAACTACAAGGCAAGGCATCCGGCATGGAATCAAGGGGTAGGCAACTCCACACATCGAATGGCAATTGAGACAGAAAAAATGCCAAAAGCTGGGCAGAGAAGGATTTCGACCAACCTTCCAAGAAATGCCGAACATAGCCACCAATCGCAAAATTTCTACTACACAAACCCGAGGAAGGACACTGCTGGAGTCCGAGAAGGCAGAAAATTGGCGACAAAGAGACCGAAAAGGCACTACAGAAGGAAATACAAATCCGGGAAGAACTACGCAAAACAAAGGAGCTCGCAGAAGCCACAGCATATATCCAAAAAACAATCCCAACTGCTCGTGGAAAATGCTCTGCCCTGTTGGTGATTGGAGTGCGATGCCGGCTATTGCCTCTACTTTGTTTGTATCTTTGACAGCAGGCAATACGGTTGTGCTGGAGTGCGACGTCGGAGCTATCTCGCCAGCAGGCAATAGGGTCGAGGGTTTAGCAGCAGGCTCTTGCCATAGCTCGTACAGCCTTGTGGACCCAATACCAAAGCGCTTTTTGAACTGGCTTGCTGGAAGCACACAGCGAAGGGAGCATATTTCTTGGATCTGGTCCGAAGACAAATCTCTTCTTGATGGCATGGTCTGTTTTCCTGGGTATATATATTCCACACATCCCATATGTCTATATGGGAATCCCAATCCTCTCCCATTTTTCCCTGTTGGCGATTGGAGGGCGATGCCGGCTATTGCCCCTACTTTGTTTGTATTGCGGAGAGCATTTTCCACGAGCAGTTGGGATTGTTTTTTGGAGTGAGTGAGTGAGTTAGTTTGGTTTTACGCCGCTTTTAGCAATATTCCAGCAATATCACGGCGGGGGACACCTGAAATGAGCTTCACACATTGTACCCATGTGGGGAATCGAACCCGGTCTTCGGTCCGAAAACTCCACTAGGCTACCCCACCGCCCCTGTTTTTAGGATATATGCTGTGGCTTCTGGGATGCCCAAAGAAAAAACAATGCAAACAAAAAGTGGTCCAAAAACTCAAATGCAGTTTTGTGCAAAACACTAATTTTTTGTGTGACTCTGGGAGCCGAATTGGCTTGTTTGGAGCTTATAGACTTGGTGCACCTATACGGTCCCGTTCCGCTATTGTGTATACTACTCCCTAAAACCAAACTGACCCTTCAAACCTGATGCTGAGTATATCCCACTGGCCTACCATAGTCATGACATGAACAGGAATCACACCCTGTAGCCACACACTGCAGTCAACCACCCTGGGCTTCATCTGCCTTGCCTTGCCTTCACTCCACCAACACCTGTCTGTCATCAACCCTAATTCAGATCTGTCACTGTGGCTTGTTGTTTTGTTGTCTCTCTGTACATGTAATTCTCAGCTATATCACCATGTCCTATGCAAATTTTGATCAGTTGCTGGTTAATGGTGCTGACATATGGAGCAAAATATAACATTGAAGCACAAGAGAGTTAACATTCATAGCACATAAATCAAAATGCAGATAAACTAGCTCCCATTGTGCATCAGGTTCATCTACAGTGACGAGTGATGAATCTCTTTAGCAGATGCTGCTGGTTGGAATTCTATCTTTCCCTGAGTAGTAAAAGCATTATGCTTTAGTATGCTTTAGTAAAGTTCAAAACCTGTGACTGTTGATAATGGCATCCGACTGCAGTCATGATGTAATATGTGTTTAAAGGTATGTAAGGGAATGTAATTCACTAGTGTGAACTGATGTGGCATGCTGTTGTGTGCTGATAAAATAAAGGTAAACAAAAACAAATTAATGTTATGCTTATATGCAGTTGTATCCCTGTCATATAATTGTCAGAGGTTTCAGTCAATGTAGTACATTTTAATCAGGGGACCACAATGGCCACTGGCTGCCTTGTAGGAGGATCAAATAGGGAAGACAACTCTTAGCTGTGCCTGAGTCTCCCCTTGGGTATAAAACTCACCCTCATTAGGGGCGTAGCTACCATTATAAAAAAAAGCCTTGGCTTACACATGAATTTTGCTGAAAAACATTTTTTTCTAATTCTTGCCAAAAATATGTCAAATACAATCTAAATATAAAGCTTTGCAACTTATCGGGCTTACACGAATTTTGCTGAAAACATTTTTTTCTAATTCTTGCCAAAAATAACACTCGTGCATTTAATGCTGGGTGTGCTTGTTAATTTGGCTTTATTTGACGTTGGCAAATTATTAAAGATTCCTGTCTACTTGTAAATGACGAATTCAATGGTGTGTGGAGTTAGTAGAAGGAGTATATCATTTGTAAACTGTTTAACTCATCAGAGGAATGCTATGCTAAATTTGAAAAACTTGGCACTCACAAATGAGTTTGATACATGCTGGCATTCCTCAGCCATTTCGACAGATACAAGTATGAATTTGGATAAATTATAAAAGGAATTCGCAGAGAATGCATTGCGAGTATGAGACAAACAGGAATTCAACAAATCCATGATCATCAGAAAGAGGTTGACTGTATTTCTTTCAGTGTTGCACCTAATATTTTTGCACTTATACAGACGTGTGTGCAGATGTTTGTGTGGCTGCTTGTTGGAGTCCAGGTTTAACATTGACACACTCTCATACACATCTGACATCTGTAATACCAAACACTAGGCAATAATATAATACAATATGTTTTTCAGTCCCTGCGAGAAGTTGTCCTTGGCATCTTGCGGCAGCTCAACTCCCAGCTGAACCACTGATATAAGGTCAAGGTGACTGAGACAAGGTCAAGGGGACTATGATACATCCAGCCAATCATCTCAGTTGACATATCTTACAGTCAGTGTATAATCATCTTGGAAATGTTGGTGATATCAACTGTACATAAAAAATTGTATTTCAGATATGTTGTACGAATTTGGTAACTGTTTACATACATTATGTAATAACAGTTTGTCTGTTTTATGTGGATATACATAAATTCATGTTTGTGTCAAATATTGTTTCACCTTAGGTGAAGCAAACAAGGAATAAAATTGATTTATGGAGATTTCCCTTTACTTTTGTTTGTTATTTTAATCATGAATAGTGAATGTTGACATGCTGTCATTACCAGGTAAAGGGTGCCATTTTGGCAATAATTTCTCAGTACTGATGCATTTATATCAGAATGGTAATAAACTGACTCTATATTGATCCTTTGACTCTCATTGATGTGCAGCTGTTTCACTGTCTTCAGTCTGTACTAATGTGTTTCAAAATGATAAACTATCTAAACTTTATCAGTGTTTATTAACTTTGTATTTTCGAGAAATAATGTCAAGTATTTTGCAAAACCTAAAGTTTTAGTTCCAACCAATGAAACCTTTTAACAGGCATGTGTATTAGATATAAAGAAACATCTATTTTGATACTTTTGTACTGATCCTTGCTGTAGACTGATTCAGACGTCCATGTTGGCTTGTGTTAGTGCTGCATCATGGCATCTGTGACATACCAGACAAAATGAATATTCATCACTTTGCATACGTCACTGAAGTAGCAGGTATCAAGGTGTTGTAACTTTGATACAACCTACAGTTGGTTGTAATTTTCCAAAAACTATTATGTTCTTCTTTCTCAAGTATGCTGCATTTAGTAAGATACATTCTTTCCCTTGGAAGACATCAATTGTTCATGCATTGCAACTTTTGATGTTGTGAGGTGTTTGTATCCTACTAATGGTTTGTTTCCTATCAATATGTCTGAAGGCTGAGATAACAACTGTATCTTGGCTCAGTAATCACTAACATTGTCACTGAACTGAAAGTCTGCGTACTTTGAAACTGCCAGGTGAACTCATGTGTAGTCTCGGTGATTTTGGTAATGAAAGAGTTTTTATTAAAGATATTCATAAATGAAAAAAAGATTTTTGAATTTTTAAAAAATGTATCCATGTATTGTCAATATTGAAAAACCTATATCTGATAGTTTACAAATTAGATTGAATGGATATTATGTATTGTTCTGTTCATTACATTTTGACTGTGTACTGAGCATGGTTTTTACTACTTATTTAACCCAAGAGGCAACTGAGGTTTTGTGTTATTTACTTGTTTAATGCTTTTAGTAGTGAAGCAATATGATTTATTTGTTTAGAATGTGGTCATTTGTTTGTTTTGTTGTACGATGTGTTGCCAAGTTAACAACTGTTGTCCTATAAACTTTGTAGATAAGAATTTTAATCAGGCGGCATTAATCACCATTTGCCCCTTCCCACAGCCTCCAATAAGACTCCTCCCCCTGTTGATGAATGTTATGGGTGAAAACATGACTAACCAATCAGAATACACTTAAGGATTTAGGTTTCACTGATAAAAATAATCCCCAGAAGTTAAATGTGTTCTGTCAATAATTGTGAGAAATATATATGGTCATTTTGACATTACCTAACAAACATGTGTTGCCTAAATTGAAGTTTTTGATAAAACTAGGGCCCTGAGATATTTAAATGCACACAGGTCAGTTTGATAACATGACAGCTGAAATGTTCTCCATTGAGTGTTCTCTGACAGTGTTGTGGGCTTGCTTTGGAAATTTTATGTGCACTTTCTGACGTTTTTAGGTAATGTAATTTTACATAGCTACAAGTTTCAAAACAGTCACCGTATTTTTGACTAATCCATTTAAATCGTAAACACTGTGCTTACATTTCAATTCGCTGAAGATATTTTAATTTGATGTGTCTGGGGTTCTTCATATTGTTTTCAGTGTATTAATTTTAAATTCCATCAGGGGTAAGATTACAGACATGTCCTGGTAGTCACTGCATGCATACACCAAATCATGGTGGGACTCTCCCTGAATTCTTGAGTTTGAGATATAATTTAAAGTAATTTTAGGGTGTCAATTTTTGGACTAATTACTACTGAAATTAAATGTTACTTCGATTGACTTTTCATAACAAAAGTCTAATTTGCATTTCCTAAACCGTATTTAGAAATATACATTTGGAAACAAACTGTGAACAGCAGGTAATAATTATGTTAGAATATTTTCTGGTGCTTCTGTAATGATTATTACTGTTGAAATACTAAACAGAAATATAGTAGTTCTTGTTTGAAGTAGTTCTCATGTTTTTAGGCCAAATTAAATACTTCCATGGGGAACAAGTCTCTGTTCTGCTTGTCCTGGGATACAACGAGTGGGTCACAATTGAAACAGTTGTTGAAGGTGAACATTTATGAGGGAGGCAGCGTAGACTGGTATTCTACATTCTGCATTGGGTCATGGAAGTGGTAGAAATATTACTAGTTTTAATTAAACTCTTTTAGATTATTTGTTTGAGTTTTGTGTTTAAAGCGGGTGTTTGTTTTCTCCCACTGGTTAAGATGTCACAGCCCAGACGGAGATATTGTCTGATCAGTAATCACATTATTTTGCTCTGTTCTCTTGTTGCAGTATAGTTTGTACACTTTTAGATCACAGTGTCAGCACTGCTATGTCTAGTACTGTTCAATTGTTCTCTCAAGCTGTGTTTTCCTTGGTTTTATTCAGATGAAATATATAAAAATCAATAAACTCAAGAGGACTGATTTAATTGTTTTGTTATTTATAATCTCAACTGATTTACAAACCTTACAAGTTTACATTAACAAATGGCATAGCATTATTTCCTACCTCTGACAGACCCTAAGAAGAATATTTGAAAACAAATGTGCCAGTGACAAAAAATGCCAAATCCTTTTTGGGAGACTCCTTTCCAGAAATCTGTAGGAGACATATCAATTTCACATTAGACACTTTAACTGAGCAGCCCGAAACTCAAGATTGCAGTAAGCTCAGCAGAAAGTGCTTACTGTAGTAGGATTAGATTTAGTGTAAATTGTGAAAAATATACACAATAAGTGAAAATATACTTGGAGGCATGTAGAAGTATGCAGTCCTGATCCAATATTACCCTAGTATGCAAAGTGAGTTAAATTCTTATGTTCTTATGATAGAAAGCCGGGTTTATACAAACAGACAAAGACCCTGTTCCCTCAAGCCGGGCAGGTTAAGTTACAGCCAACCTCGCAGGTCATATAACAGTTATAAACTGTGACGGGTATGATGTGGTAAGAGCCTGAAAAATAAGGTTCTGGTCTCAGAAAATGACATTTGAGTGTAGTCTGTAGGATAGGCATGTCCGCATGGGAGATAAAGTATTGTCTGTCTGTCTGTCTGTCTCTATGAAGGACTTCCTTAAAAAACTCCAAGACTGCTTTCATCTGTGCCACTGGACGAAAGGTTGACTCTGCCTGCCTTCGTGCATCATGCTTTTTAATAAGGGGCACCTACAAATTAAATAGTTTAATAATCCTAAGCTAACGTTTCTTCAAGCTTCCAAATACATGTTCATCCTGAATATTTCGTATGCGTTTGTGAAATATTATGTATGTCCGTATAAATATACCCGATTATGTGTATATTTTGACTTGTTAACCTTTTCAGTTTCATTTCTTTAGAATATGCAAACGCTTTGTTAGAAGCATACATGGGGGCGGTGGGGTAGCCTGATGGTTAAAGCGTTCGCTCGTCACGCCGAAGACCCGGGTTCGATTCCCCACATGGGTACAATGTGTGAAGCTCATTTCTGGTGTCCCCTGCCGTGATATTGCTGGAATATTGCTAAAAGCGGCGTAAAACCAACTCGCTCACTCACAAGAAGCATACATGAAGACCGTATGATCTGCCGATGACCGTATCTTGTACCAAGCTGGACTGTCTGCCTTATGATTACACTCCAGTCCAGTCTTGAACACAGAACGACACGAACCACGTTGTGATTCATTTATTCTTCAATATTGTAAAAGGTTATAAATATTAACAATGTATAAAAATATATCTCAGAAGCCAGGTATCCGTTTGGTTCTTTCAATTCATAAAATAAAGCAACAATAAACAAGACCGTTACGCAGACCATGTTGCACAAGAAAACGCCATATTGTAAGGACTATATGCAGCAATAGAAATCTAGATATTGTACAAACATTACACTTCAAATTACCAGCTATCTGTACTTGTGGCTGCAGCTGTACTCGATTAGTACTGCCTATTAAACGACCGCGATTATTTTCATACATTTCCCATCCTCCAAGTAACACGGCTTTGTATATAATAATGTATTAAGTATTGTTTGTGTGCTTGTGAGTGGATTTCCCAAGGATAGCATGGTAAAGGGTAATGGTAGATATATTACACTTGAAAACTTTGGCTCAAACATTCAAGTTGAAAGTGTTTCTGTGTGCACACGAACGTGTGGGCTGATAGCGATATGAAACGTCCAATCAGAGCATAGCATGAACAACATCCATACAAAATAGTGACGTCAAACACCAGACAGAGAATAGTAGTGTCAAGAAATCCACGAGAAACAAAATAAACATGTCAATAGTCTACCAGAGCATAGTTATATCAACAGATGAAAATGTAGCGATGTCGACTTTCGAACAAACTTATTTATATCACCATTCGATCAGTTCATAAGATCCCTCAACAAATGATAATGTCATGATATTGATTTTAACATCCAGTTGATATCTCCTATAACGACTAACAGATCATGCTATTCCTGAATTAACTGGGCGGTCTGACACAGACAAAACACTGGAAGTGTCATATAAATAAGTGTACATATACATTATGGAAAATCAGATTACTCGTCTTTAGTGCAACGCGTGACTGTTCTGTTGAGTGCACGTCGTATCGATGGGCGGGTTGTTCAGTGCTGTACGCTGATCAATATGTTTAGGTAAGTAGCTGTCGAGAATACACCACGTGCATGGGGAGTGCTACCGGTGGACACGATCAACATTTTCAAGAACGTCTGGTGTCGTCACTGATTTCAGCGATCTAAGCACATAATGTCCGCGAATATTTTGCTTTTATGCCAACTGAATTGTTTCCTCCATGAATCAAGACATATTGAGAGGGGATGCAGTTAGTATTTCCCTTTCCACGTCGCATGCTGCCAACCTTGGGCTGGGCCCCACAATCACATAGTTCCAGACACGTGGACTTCCTCCTGGCGACATCTGGGACGTATGCACAGACTCACAGACACGTAGTGACTTTTACAATCAGTGGATAAGTAGGCTCACATCCTTTTTGTGAATTGTTCCGATTATTGCTGACACTGCGGTCGCTTTGTCACCGGAATGTTGTAGCTGTGATCGGAGCTTGGTTGGAGAATAGCAACTGTCTGTGACGTAATAATGTACCATTGCATTCATATGGGTGATCATTGGGATTGTGTATCTTCGACTTCGGTCGACCGGGAGCAACGTCTGTGACGTCATCATCGTTTGGGGAGTCAGTTTACCATTTCCGGGAGGTGAAATCTCGTTCATATACACTCGTCACTTTTGCCTTTTGCCTAATATTGGCAAAATGCCTTGTATCATCCAGTCATTGCGTGGTCGAACTGTTGGTCGAACAAACAGGCTTAATAGTACAATGTCATTGGGCAGTGGAAATATCTGTGCTAATCTTTTTGCTCGAATTGGAAAACCGTGATACAGCAATAAACATCGAAAATCAATAGTAATCAAAACAATGTCTGTATAGTCAAGTATATTGAGAGATGAACTTGTATATTATCTGAATGTAGTCAGTTGAATATCGTAAATGTTACCACTAATCGTACGCATGAAGCCAACGAGACAGAAAGGGAAGCGACGAGTATACTGCTTCGTGAAACATTGAAATACTAATGTATAATGAGCAATATCAAATTGATTAAACAGGAATTCTTCAGTTTGCCAGTATTATATCGACCTCTGTAATACTTACAGTTACAGGTACGGTGTTAATGGCGTTGGTTGCACTACAGGTCTGTCTATTCGAAACTGAAATAGGTAAGTAAGTAAGTAAGTAAGTAAATATCTGGCGCATGGCGGTAGTCACCGAATAACATACAGGGGCTACTTACACACGCATACGAAAACGCTTGCCTTGTGAAATAAAGTTTGACACTGAAGTGTGAAGATGGGTTCTTCTGTGGATGCAATGAGCGATAATTATCGTGGAATCTATGACTATCATTAAATCAAAAGTGAAATGAAAGTCTTCAGACCTATTCGGGGCTGTGAGGTCGCCTTGTGTTGAAAGCGCCCGGTCGTCACACAGACGATCTTTCGATTACCCACTTAGGTAGAATGTCTGAAGCACATTCTCTTTCCCCCCGCTGTGATATTGCCGGGACATTGCCAAAGACGGCGTAAAACCATACTCACTCAACTCTGACACATTCTGCCCGGCGTATGTATTAAGTCTTCACACTGAGTAGCCAATCCAGAGCTGGTATTTTAGTATCACTACGAAGACCATTAGAAATATACAAGCCACATAAAGAAACTGTGCATTGTCAAAATATTATCCCAGTTGATAAGTACGATAACAATGTCAAAGGTACATATAAACTTTAATGGAGGGATCATGAGACCATAACAAATCGGGAGAATTTCAATTGAAAATTCAATCACAATGACGTCACGAGTCCACAAGCGGGACAGGGGTCAAACGACCATGTCACAAGCTCAATAACGGGTATGTCCACCATCGGCATCGAGAACAGCAAACGTGCAAGGCCTATCAAACGTGCAAGGAAGGCTTGTGGGATGTCACACCAGATTCTTTCAAGTTCTGTTGCAAGGTCAAGGACGTTATCTGGCGGATGAGGAAGACGGCGTAGACGTCGATCCATCTCGTCCCAAACATGCTCTATCGGGGAGAGATCCGGTGAATTTGCAGGCCAAGGCAGTAAGTCAACGTTGTGGTGTTGCAAAAATCCATAGCAACCCTTGCCGTATGAGGGCGGGCATTGTCCTGTTGGAATGTTAACCCAGGGCCATGACGTTGCAGAAAAGGAATTGCCACAGGTCGAAGAATCTGATCCCTGTAGCCCACACCAGTTAAGTTGCCCTGAACAATCACCAAAGGAGTTCTTTGGCGTGCTGTTATTCCACCCCAAATCATCACGGAACCACCACCAAAGCGATTCCTCTCCAAGACACAGGCCTGTGCATAACGTTCTCCCACGCGTCTATAGGCACGTTGACGTCCATCACTATGGGAAATGTTAAACCTGGACTCATCTGTAAAAACAACTTTTCTCCACCAAAACAAGGGTCTGTGGACATGATTTCGGCACCACATTCGGCGAGCTTGTCGATGACGTTGTGTCAGGATAGGCCGTATGGCGGGACGTCGTGGTCTGATCCCGTGATGACGTAAACGTTGTCGAACTGTGTTGGGGTGGATACGGCGAAGTCCTGGGATGGTTCGGGCAGTCATCACGGCAGTCTGAAACCTGTGGCGAAGATGGGTCACCCTTATCCATCTGTCCTGTCTTGGCGTTGTTACACGTGGACGTCCAGAACGTGGCCGATCGATGACGTCATTTGTGTTCTGGTAGCGTCTCACCAGTGCAGAAATGGTGTTCCGGTGGCAGTGGAAATGTGCAGCCACTTGTCGTTGAGACATTCCCCCACGGACCATCCCAATGGCCTCATGACGTTATGCAGACGTGAGCCTTGGCATGCTATGCGTTTCAATAGCCGCAACAACGTATTGCACGTCTCAAGGACGAATCCACTGACGTCACGGAACGTGGCACGTGCATGCATGTTGGATACATGTCACTAATCTCTGAGTTTGAATCCTTATGTGTCTACACAGGTTTGATAAATTTAGATTTTAAATTTTTGTATGCACAGTTTCTTTATGTGCCTAGTATAGGTTTCGGTCATTGTGTCCAATGTGGGCGAACCAGCGCTTTAGTGTGAGGAATACACGCTTTAAATTCTAGACTACCCCATGGTCAGATAGGATCAGCTGTAGTGGAACACCTATCTTACCGCTTCTTGTAAATGATGTACCACTACTACTCAGGACAACAGAATATCTCTATATAACCTTACGGACATGAGATGCCAATATGTGGATATTACTGACTTACGTCATGATTGGGATCCAAAGCATCAAAGTACCACACCGGGTTAACCACGGAGGCTGTAGAGATAAACATGTAGAAGATGTTAGGTACTCAGACATACTGAAACCTAGGATCCATGCTTACAATATGCTTAGATATTTAAACCAAATTAGACCCACATCATAGTTTTCTGTTGAATCAATGATTTAATCCTTAGCAAAGTGGGAATAGTATATTATGATATGCCTTTTAACCGTCTGAGCTGTGCCTGGAAAACACGTCAGTGACGTCTTCATCGGCGTCGTGGGGGTAGATGATTGGGTAGTCGAAGCCGCGGAACGAGGGCGCCTCTATATCGGCGTCTCCCATGCTGGACATGCTGCCGAAGTCAGAGAACTGGCGCCAGTTGCGGGTATACCGAGGCAGGAAGGTACTTGTGGGCATGGTGAAGGAAGCGCTATTGGGAGGAAGCAATATTCAGGTTACGCTGTATTGAGTAATCGAATAGTTGGCCAGACAAATATACAAATAAAAATTTTTTGGAAATGTATGTCAGATAATAATATCTGCTGAAACAGATTCTACTGGCGTAAATGACAAAATACTGATGGCAATTACATGAATGTCTGTTATATGGAGGCGGTTTGTAAATAATCGACTCTGGACCAGACAATCCTTTGATCAACAACATGATCATCGATCTGCGCAACTGGGATAAGATGACATGTGTGAACCAAGTCAGCCAGCCTGACCACCAAATTCCGTTAGTCCCATCTTACGACAAGCACGGGTTGCTAAAGATTAGTTCTAACCCGGATCTTCACCGGTTATTACAGGAATGGATCCCTAAAACATCAGTGAACCAAATGTTCGCGAAAAGGTAACACATGACCTGCTCCATCGACAGGACCCGAGAACATATACCGTACATACCCTGGTGCCCTCTGTTGTTGGGATACTGAGAGATGCAGCGATACAATCTGTTTACTCGCTCATTCACTCACTGAACGTGCATGTTCAACCTTACCTATCGTCAAACGGGATACGACGTCGTCGTTGACGACGACGTCTCCTGTACATTGCCAGTCCACAGCACGTTGCTAGAAGGGCGACTACAGCCATGACGACTACAGGAACAAGGATGACGACAAGACGGTCATCTTCTGGTGGAGTGGTGGGTCTTGGGTTGTGTGATGCCAGGTACTGACAAAACTCACCGCTGTGGGTTGATGGGCATCTGAAATTGTGTGTGGCTCAATGCGTAAGTCAATAGGTCGCACGTAGATGTATATATGACTAGAAAACCCATTAGATAAAACTGGAAGCGTTAGTAGCTGTGAGTCTCACCTGCAAATTGCTTCGGTGTTGTTATCTAAGCAGTACCCGTCACGACAGTCCCCTGTGACGTTGTATATGGAACATGGGCTGTAGGTGGCGTTCACCCCGATGTCAACTGAAACAGCAAACATCTACAGTGTGTGTGTGTTCCAAGAGTTGTGACCTGTGAGTCAGTGTTGATAGGAATGGCGACAGGACCATGGATGTTTTAAGAAATAGAAGTATCTATGGACATGTTTCAGGTGGACGGGAAACTGTGTGCATGTTTCAGGAGAAGGTGAGCTGTGTGTATGTTTCAGGAGAAGGTGAAGCTGTGTGTATGTTTCAGGAGGAGGTGGGAGGCTGTGTGTATGTTTCAGGTGGAGGGAGGCTGTGTGCATGTTTCAGGAGGAGGGGAGGCTGTGTGTATGTTTCAGGAGGAGGGGAGGCTGTGTGTATGTTTCAGGAGGAGGGGAGGCTGTGTGTATGTTTCAGGAGGAGGGGAGGAGCTGTGTGTATGTTTTCAGGAGGAGGGGAGGCTGTGTGTATGTTTCAGGAGGAGGGGATGCTGTGTGTATGTTTCAGGAGGAGGGGAGGCTGTGTGTATGTTTCAGGAGGAGGGAGGCTGTGTGTATGTTTCAGGAGGAGGGGAGGCTGTGTGTATGTTTCAGGGAGGAGGGTGTGTATGCTGTGTGTATGTTTCAGGTGGAGGGGAGGCTGTGTGTATGTTTCAGGTGGAGGGAGGCTGTGTGTATGTTTCAGGAGGAGGGGAGGCTGTGTGTATGTTTCAGGTGGAGGGAGGCTGTGTGTATGTTTCAGGTGGAGGGAGGCTGTGTGCATGTTTCAGGCTGTGTGTATGTTTCAGGTGGAGGGGAGGCTGTGTGTATGTTTCAGGTGGAGGAGAGGCTGTGTGTATGTTTCAGGAGGAGGGAGGCTGTGTGTATGTTTCAGGTGGAGGGGAGGCTGTGTGTATGTTTCAGGTGGAGGGAGGCTGTGTGTATGTTTCAGGTGGAGGGAGGCTGTGTGTATGTTTCAGGTGGAGGGGAGGCTGTGTGTATGTTTCAGGTGGAGGGGAGGCTGTGTGTATGTTTCAGGTGGAGGGGAGCTGTGTGTATGTTTCAGGTGGAGGGGATGCTGTGTGTATGTTTCAGGAGGAGGGAGGCTGTGTGTATGTTTCAGGTGGAGGGAGGCTGTGTGTATGTTTCAGGAGGAGGGAGTGCTGTGTGTGTGTGTTTCAGGTGGAGGAGGGTGTATGCTGTGTGTATGTTTTTCAGGTGGAGGGAGGGTGTGTATGAGGTGGGGGATGCTGTGTGTATGTTTCAGGTGGAGGGGAGGCTGTGTGTGTATGTTTCAGGTGGAGGGATGTGTGTATGTTTCTGTGTGTATGTTTCAGGTGGAGGGATGCTGTGTGTATGTTTCAGGTGGAGGGGATGCTGTGTGTATGTTTCAGGTGGAGGGATGCTGTGTGTATGTTTCAGGTGGAGGGGATGCTGTGTGTATGTTTCAGGTGGAGGGGAGGCTGTGTGTATGTTTCAGGTGGAGGGAGATGCTGTGTGTATGTTTCAGGTGGAGGGAGGCTGTGTGTATGTTTCAGGTGTTTCAGGAGGAGAGAGAGGCTGTGTGTATGTTTCAGGAGGAGGGAGCTGTGTGTGTTTCATGGCTGTGTGTATGTTTCAGGAGGTTTTTCAGGGGAGGCTGTGTGTGTATGTTTCAGGTGGAGGAGGGGAGGCTGTGTGTATGTTTCAGGAGGAGGGATGCTGTGTGTATGTTTCAGGAGGAGGAGGGTGTGGCTGTGTGTATGTTTCAGGTGGAGGGAGGCTGTGTGTATGTTTCAGGTGGAGGGAGGCTGTGTGTATGTTTTCAGGTGGAGGGATGCTGTGTGTATGTTTCAGGAGGAGGGAGGCTGTGTGTGTATGTTTCAGGAGGAGGGAGGCTGTGTGTATGTTTCAGGTGGAGGGGGAGGCTGTGTGTATGTTTCAGGTGGAGGGAGGCTGTGTGTATGTGGAGGGAGGAGGCTTCAGGTGGAGGGAGGCTGTGTGTATGTTTCAGGTGGAGGGGAGGCTGTGTGTGTTTCATGTGCTTGTGTAGGGGGAGGCTGTGTGTATGTTTTCAGGTGGAGGAGGTGTGTATGCTGTGTGTATGTTTCAGGAGGGAGAGGTGAGGCTGTGTGTATGTGTGTATGTTTCAGGAGAAGGGAGGCTGTGTGTATGTTTCAGGAGGAAGGGGAGGCTGTGTGTATGTTTCAGGAGGAGGGGAGGCTGTGTGTATGTTTCCAGGTGGAGGAGGAGGTGTGTATGTGTAGGTGTGTGTGTTGTTTCAGGTGGAGGGAGGCTGTGTGTATGTTTCAGGAGGAGGGGAGGCTGTGTGTATGTTTCAGGTGGAGGGGGAGTGTGTATGCTGTGTGTGTATGTTTCAGGAGAAGGGGAGGCTATGTGTATGTTTCAGGTGGAGGGGAGGCAGTGTATGTTTCAGGAGGAGGGAAGGTTATGGGTGCCTACACATATAATTCTGCTGCAGATGAGAATGTTTACTTCACACTCACCACATTTATCTTGACAAGTTCGTTTGTCGATGTCGCAGACACGAGGTGTTGACACATCCACGAGGCAGGAAGTGTTGTCAGGACGGAAGATGGTTGCACTGGATTGCAGAAACACCCTTAAACTGTTGGTTGACCTGAGTTTGTCACGAGGGTCTTGTCTGTGTCCAGATACATATCTCATCTGTATAGTTAGCTGGTTACTGTTGGCACTGTTGAGAAGAGGCACTTACTGTAACATTCTTCACAGTTTCTCTTGCACACATTCGGCAACAGAGCTGTACTATATCTCTGTCTAACCCCGATCGACGGGAATATTGCGTCTGAGTCTGTGTAATTCCTGATGGCATAGGGCGAGGTTCCACATCATACAACTTATTAATTTCTCTTACTATTTCACACAGCAAGATTCACCAAAACGCAACTTGCAACAACTGCATGAACATCCCTTGAATTTGCCTGAAACTTTATCTCTCTTGATTACCAGAAGATTGTGAACGTTTCAGTTTATTCTCTGCACATCTTACATTTAATTAAAGTTAATTTACACGTGAAACTTCAGTGCAAGAGGATAGCCGGTCTTCAGACCGGCGTTAAGGATCAAATAGTCAACACTAGGTAAAAGCAGCACTGGATGTCAGTGACGACTCTGGGTGTTCGGGTTAAGGGGGGTAAGCATGTCTTCCCATCCCGGTAGCAGGCAGGGCAACATTATGAAAGGATGTGGTGTTTTTCAACTTTGTTTTGCGCGGGAGGTGAAATGTGAGACGTGACAAACGTGGTTAACGATCTACGAGGGGACTTCTTTGAGTGGCATTGTTGTACTTGCTTGACAACGATACAAGAATACTTGCTGACAACGATACAGGAATCTGTATCGAAACGTCGAATCTACCGAATAAGGAAGTATTTTTTGCATAAAGTTTGTCTGTATATAAGATCTACGAGGGGCGTCCCAAACGTAGTCGGCCAAACTATATTCTCGATGTCCAATGTTAGAAAAGCTTCCATTTTATTTTGAAGGAATCATTTTTAGCAAAGCCATATCCAAAAATTCACAGTTGTGGGTAATGTGGTTAACGAAATGTTAGTCAGCACAACACATTTGGGTATAATATTTCTTTAAAAATTGCAGAAAGTGAAAAACTGTTATTTTGAACCTCTTGGATAATGGTATGCCCTCAGATAATATCATATACAATATGTTCAGTACAATATTGGATGACTTCCCGCCATAATCAACCTTCAAAGATTGCTTGATTTATATTTAGACGGGGCTGTTTGTAAGGGACAACCCCATTTTAATCTTTCAAAAATACTGTGTCCAGATATTCAAGCTGGCACTGTTTACAATATATTGAGTGCTGACACTTGTGTGGCCATTCAGTATTTAGTTTGAACCCTTGGCATTATGTATGCATAAGTGAAAACATTAGAATAAACTATGTCCTTATGCCTGCGTCATCTGAAAGGGGTTGGGCAGTGTCTCCAAAACAAGCTCTTTCAGTAAACGTCATGGTGGGATGCGATCGTAGTTTCAAACTGCATTTTTATGCACTTTGATATCTACGTTTGGTTCTAGAGAACTTTTGCCTATCTCAAACACACAAAATTTTGTTTCCTGAAGTTGCATGTATGATACATTTATTGCAGATTTTGCGTTTTTTAGGGGTAACAATATAAAGTGTCAAACAAAACGGGGATCGTGAGGCTGGAACATGGCAAAAGCAATTTTCTTGAGGTTGACACACAATATGTAGAAAAATAAAACATAAAAAACAGCTGCATTTGTATATTTGTCTGGGTGAGGCCGACTACTTTTGGGACGCCTTTCGTAGATGTCCTCCCCATGTAACAGATCTTTGATGGACTACTGACTACTCACACCACCGAGACTGCAGCGACGTTAGGAAGACCCTTAAATACTTGGTTCTGGAACTGAAATTTAAGATGATTTGATTGAGTAGGACTGAAATAATCTCTAAAAAATAATTAGAAAGAATTGTGTTCATGGTAGCTAAAAGACCGAATTTGCCAACGAGTTACTTAACCATGTGGAGTTTTGTAATAAAATACAATTCTGACGAGAAGTTGAATATTTTGAAGAACAAGGTCCACACTAAACTTGCAGTGTAGGAATCACCACGACCACATGTAAAGGTATATCTAGCAGTTAAGAACATTACCATCATATCCAGCTTTTGGACATTTTCTCTCTTCAAAGGCACGTTGCACTGTATATCTAATAAAAACGTTGCCCTAGTTGATGCTGGAAAAGAGTTCTTGCAGTTACGACATAATGTTTTCAGGGTAAGTTTGATCGTCTTTTTTCAGATTGTTCAATTACAATTTTGATGTAAGTCTTAAAATGAACTTAAACAAAGCACTGAAAATGTTTACTATATATCAGAAGACACAAATAAAAATACATTTAAAAATGAAACGTCATGATGGTGTGGAGCTCGCACCTGTGGGCGTTGTCAAGAGAGTGGAAAGCGTAGATGTCTCGCTTGATGTCTCTGTAGTATAAGAACTGGTTGTTGTAGATGTGTTTTCTGTCACTGCTGAGGATGTTCCAGTCACCATTTCCGATGTCAAGCTTTCCTCAGTCGTTGAAACAGTAGATACTGAAGACATCCCAGTCATTGTCGTTTCTTGAGTCGTTGGCTCCTCAGAGGAAGTTGAAGATGCAGTGGCAACGGAAGCAGATTCCGTGGAGGCCGATTGAGTGGAAACAGTCGAGGTTTGACTTGTTTCTGTGCTCGACGTTTCTTTTGTAGATTCCGGAGTGGACAAGGTTGAGGTGGCTTCCATCGTAGTGGACATAGATGCTTGGTAAGGGCCAGGACTGACTGTGGATGACGTTTCCTCTGTGGGAGTAGAAGCTGTCTGTGGTGACGATCCCTCTGTTGAGCCTTGTGTGGTATTTTGGCCTTGGTTGGTGAACGTGGACTGGGAGGTGCCTGCTTGACTGGGTGTACTTGAAAGTGGAGAGGTCGTGGCTTCAGTGGTACTCTCAGAGCCTGATGCTGTGGTGGATGATTGCTGAGAAAGAGTAGATTCTGTGTTTGTGACATGTAATGTTGTTTCCGAGTGGCTTGACTCAGTGCTACCCTCGGATGCTGTGGAAGTTTCTCCCAGTGTTGTAGCAGAGTAAACCTCGGTTGTCATTGTGGGAGTAGGTGTTGTAGCTTCCCTTGATGGTGTGGAGCTCGCACCTGTGGGCGTTGTCAAGAGAGTGGAAAGCGTAGATGTCTCGCTTGATGTCTCTGTAGTATAAGAACTGGTTGTTGTAGATGTGTTTTCTGTCACTGCTGAGGATGTTCCAGTCACCATTTCCGATGTCAAGCTTTCCTCAGTCGTTGAAACAGTAGATACTGAAGACATCCCAGTCATTGTCGTTTCTTGAGTCGTTGGCTCCTCAGAGGAAGTTGAAGATGCAGTGGCAACGGAAGCAGATTCCGTGGAGGCCGATTGAGTGGAAACAGTCGAGGTTTGACTTGTTTCTGTGCTCGACGTTTCTTTTGTAGATTCCGGAGTGGACAAGGTTGAGGTGGCTTCCATCGTAGTGGACATAGATGCTTGGTAAGGGCCAGGACTGACTGTGGATGACGTTTCCTCTCTGTGGGAGTAGAAGCTGTCTGTGGTGACGATCCCTCTGTTGAGCCTTGTGTGGTATTTTGGCCTTGGTTGGTGAACGTGGACTGGGAGGTGCCTGCTTGACTGGGTGTACTTGAAAGTGGAGAGGTCGTGGCTTCAGTGGTACTCTCAGAGCCTGATGCTGTGGTGGATGATTGCTGAGAAAGAGTAGATTCTGTGTTTGTGACATGTAATGTTGTTTCCGAGTGGCTTGACTCAGTGCTACCCTCGGATGCTGTGGAAGTTTCTCCCAGTGTTGTAGCAGAGTAAACCTCGGTTGTCATTGTGGGAGTAGGTGTTGTAGCTTCCCTTGATGGTGTGGAGCTCGCACCTGTGGGCGTTGTCAAGAGAGTGGAAAGCGTAGATGTCTCGCTTGATGTCTCTGTAGTATAAGAACTGGTTGTTGTAGATGTGTTTTCTGTCACTGCTGAGGATGTTCCAGTCACCATTTCCGATGTCAAGCTTTCCTCAGTCGTTGAAACAGTAGATACTGAAGACATCCCAGTCATTGTCGTTTCTTGAGTCGTTGGCTCCTCAGAGGAAGTTGAAGATGCAGTGGCAACGGAAGCAGATTCCGTGGAGGCCGATTGAGTGGAAACAGTCGAGGTTTGACTTGTTTCTGTGCTCGACGTTTCTTTTGTAGATTCCGGAGTGGACAAGGTTGAGGTGGCTTCCATCGTAGTGGACATAGATGCTTGGTAAGGGCCAGGACTGACTGTGGATGACGTTTCCTCTGTGGGAGTAGAAGCTGTCTGTGGTGACGATCCCTCTGTTGAGCCTTGTGTGGTATTTTGGCCTTGGTTGGTGAACGTGGACTGGGAGGTGCCTGCTTGACTGGGTGTACTTGAAAGTGGAGAGGTCGTGGCTTCAGTGGTACTCTCAGAGCCTGATGCTGTGGTGGATGATTGCTGAGAAAGAGTAGATTCTGTGTTTGTGACATGTAATGTTGTTTCCGAGTGGCTTGACTCAGTGCTACCCTCGGATGCTGTGGAAGTTTCTCCCAGTGTTGTAGCAGAGTAAACCTCGGTTGTCATTGTGGGAGTAGGTGTTGTAGCTTCCCTTGATGGTGTGGAGCTCGCACCTGTGGGCGTTGTCAAGAGAGTGGAAAGCGTAGATGTCTCGCTTGATGTCTCTGTAGTATAAGAACTGGTTGTTGTAGATGTGTTTTCTGTCACTGCTGAGGATGTTCCAGTCACCATTTCCGATGTCAAGCTTTCCTCAGTCGTTGAAACAGTAGATACTGAAGACATCCCAGTCATTGTCGTTTCTTGAGTCGTTGGCTCCTCAGAGGAAGTTGAAGATGCAGTGGCAACGGAAGCAGATTCCGTGGAGGCCGATTGAGTGGAAACAGTCGAGGTTTGACTTGTTTCTGTGCTCGACGTTTCTTTTGTAGATTCCGGAGTGGACAAGGTTGAGGTGGCTTCCATCGTAGTGGACATAGATGCTTGGTAAGGGCCAGGACTGACTATGGATGACGTTTCCTCTGTGGGAGTAGAAGCTGTCTGTGGTGACGATCCCTCTGTTGAGCCTTGTGTGGTATTTTGGCCTTGGTTGGTGAACGTGGACTGGGAGGTGCCTGCTTGACTGGGTGTACTTGAAAGTGGAGAGGTCGTGGCTTCAGTGGTACTCTCAGAGCCTGATGCTGTGGTGGATGATTGCTGAGAAAGAGTAGATTCTGTGTTTGTGACATGTAATGTTGTTTCCGAGTGGCTTGACTCAGTGCTACCCTCGGATGCTGTGGAAGTTTCTCCCAGTGTTGTAGCAGAGTAAACCTCGGTTGTCATTGTGGGAGTAGGTGTTGTAGCTTCCCTTGATGGTGTGGAGCTCGCACCTGTGGGCGTTGTCAAGAGAGTGGAAAGCGTAGATGTCTCGCTTGATGTCTCTGTAGTATAAGAACTGGTTGTTGTAGATGTGTTTTCTGTCACTGCTGAGGATGTTCCAGTCACCATTTCCGATGTCAAGCTTTCCTCAGTCGTTGAAACAGTAGATACTGAAGACATCCCAGTCATTGTCGTTTCTTGAGTCGTTGGCTCCTCAGAGGAAGTTGAAGATGCAGTGGCAACGGAAGCAGATTCCGTGGAGGCCGATTGAGTGGAAACAGTCGAGGTTTGACTTGTTTCTGTGCTCGACGTTTCTTTTGTAGATTCCGGAGTGGACAAGGTTGAGGTGGCTTCCATCGTAGTGGACATAGATGCTTGGTAAGGGCCAGGACTGACTGTGGATGACGTTTCCTCTGTGGGAGTAGAAGCTGTCTGTGTTGACGATCCCTCTGTTGAGCCTTGTGTGTGTATTTTGGCCTTGGTTGGTGAACGTGGACTGGGAGGTGCCTGCTTGACTGGGTGTACTTGAAAGTGGAGAGGTCGTGGCTTCAGTGGTACTCTCAGAGCCTGATGCTGTGGTGGATGATTGCTGAGAAAGAGTAGATTCTGTGTTTGTGACATGTAATGTTGTTTCCGAGTGGCTTGACTCAGTGCTACCCTCGGATGCTGTGGAAGTTTCTCCCAGTGTTGTAGCAGAGTAAACCTCGGTTGTCATTTTGGGAGTAGGTGTTGTAGCTTCCCTTGATGGTGTGGAGCTCGCACCTGTGGGCGTTGTCAAGAGAGTGGAAAGCGTAGATGTCTCGCTTGATGTTTCTGTAATATAAGAACTGGTTGTTGTAGATGTGTTTTCTGTCACTGCTGAGGATGTTCCAGTCACCATTTCCGATGTCAAGCTTTCCTCAGTCGTTGAAACAGTAGATACTGAAGACATCCCAGTCATTGTCGTTTCTTGAGTCGTTGGCTCCTCAGAGGAAGTTAAAGATGCAGTGGCAACGGAAGCAGATTCCGTGGAGGCCGATTGAGTGGAAACAGTCGAGGTTTGACTTGTTTCTGTGCTCGACGTTTCTTTTGTAGATTCCGGAGTGGACAAGGTTGAGGTGGCTTCCATCGTAGTGGACATAGATGCTTGGTAAGGGCCAGGACTGACTGTGGATGACGTTTCCTCTGTGGGAGTAGAAGCTGTCTGTGGTGACGATCCCTCTGTTGAGCCTTGTGTGGTATTTTGGCCTTGGTTGGTGAACGTGGACTGGGAGGTGCCTGCTTGACTGGGTGTACTTGAAAGTGGAGAGGTCGTGGCTTCAGTGGTACTCTCAGAGCCTGATGCTGTGGTGGATGATTGCTGAGAAAGAGTAGATTCTGTGTTTGTGACATGTAATGTTGTTTCCGAGTGGCTTGACTCAGTGCTACCCTCGGATGCTGTGGAAGTTTCTCCCAGTGTTGTAGCAGAGTAAACCTCGGTTGTCATTTTGGGAGTAGGTGTTGTAGCTTCCCTTGATGGTGTGGAGCTCGCACCTGTGGGCGTTGTCAAGAGAGTGGAAAGCGTAGATGTCTCGCTTGATGTCTCTGTAGTATAAGAACTGGTTGTTGTAGATGTGTTTTCTGTCACTGCTGAGGATGTTCCAGTCACCATTTCCGATGTCAAGCTTTCCTCAGTCGTTGAAACAGTAGATACTGAAGACATCCCAGTCATTGTCGTTTCTTGAGTCGTTGGCTCCTCAGAGGAAGTTAAAGATGCAGTGGCAACGGAAGCAGATTCCGTGGAGGCCGATTGAGTGGAAACAGTCGAGGTTTGACTTGTTTCTGTGCTCGACGTTTCTTTTGTAGATTCCGGAGGGACAAGGTTGAGGTGGCTTCCATCGTAGTGGACATAGATGCTTGGTAAGGGCCAGGACTGACTGTGGATGACGTTTCCTCTGTGGGAGTAGAAGCTGTCTGTGGTGACGATCCCTCTGTTGAGCCTTGTGTGGTATTTTGGCCTTGGTTGGTGAACGTGGACTGGGAGGTGCCTGCTTGACTGGTCGTACCTGAAAGTGGAGAGGTCGTGGCTTCAGTGGTACTCTCAGAGCCTGATGCTGTGGTGGATGATTGCTGAGAAAGAGTAGATTCTGTGTTTGTGACATGTAATGTTGTTTCCGAGTGGCTTGACTCAGTGCTACCCTCGGATGCTGTGGAAGTTTCTCCCAGTGTTGTAGCAGAGTAAACCTCGGTTGTCATTTTGGGAGTAGGTGTTGTAGCTTCCCTTGATGGTGTGGAGCTCGCACCTGTGGGCGTTGTCAAGAGAGTGGAAAGCGTAGATGTCTCGCTTGATGTCTCTGTAGTATAAGAACTGGTTGTTGTAGATGTGTTTTCTGTCACTGCTGAGGATGTTCCAGTCACCATTTCCGATGTCAAGCTTTCCTCAGTCGTTGAAACAGTAGATACTGAAGACATCCCAGTCATTGTCGTTTCTTGAGTCGTTGGCTCCTCAGAGGAAGTTAAAGATGCAGTGGCAACGGAAGCAGATTCCGTGGAGGCCGATTGAGTGGAAACAGTCGAGGTTTGACTTGTTTCTGTGCTCGACGTTTCTTTTGTAGATTCCGGAGTGGACAAGGTTGAGGTGGCTTCCATCGTAGTGGACATAGATGCTTGGTAAGGGCCAGGACTGACTGTGGATGACGTTTCCTCTGTGGGAGTAGAAGCTGTCTGTGGTGACGATCCCTCTGTTGAGCCTTGTGTGGTATTTTGGCCTTGGCTGGTGAACGTGGACTGGGAGGTGCCTGCTTGACTGGGTGTACTTGAAAGTGGAGAGGTCGTGGCTTCAGTGGTACTCTCAGAGCCTGATGCTGTGGTGGATGATTGCTGAGAAAGAGTAGATTCTGTGTTTGTGACATGTAATGTTGTTTCCGAGTGGCTTGACTCAGTGCTACCCTCGGATGCTGTGGAAGTTTCTCCCAGTGTTGTAGCAGAGTAAACCTCGGTTGTCATTTTGGGAGTAGGTGTTGTAGCTTCCCTTGATGGTGTGGAGCTCGCACCTGTGGGCGTTGTCAAGAGAGTGGAAAGCGTAGATGTCTCGCTTGATGTCTCTGTAGTATAAGAACTGGTTGTTGTAGATGTGTTTTCTGTCACTGCTGAGGATGTTCCAGTCACCATTTCCGATGTCAAGCTTTCCTCAGTCGTTGAAACAGTAGATACTGAAGACATCCCAGTCATTGTCGTTTCTTGAGTCGTTGGCTCCTCAGAGGAAGTTAAAGATGCAGTGGCAACGGAAGCAGATTCCGTGGAGGCCGATTGAGTGGAAACAGTCGAGGTTTGACTTGTTTCTGTGCTCGACGTTTCTTTTGTAGATTCCGGAGTGGACAAGGTTGAGGTGGCTTCCATCGTAGTGGACATAGATGCTTGGTAAGGGCCAGGACTGACTGTGGATGACGTTTCCTCTGTGGGAGTAGAAGCTGTCTGTGGTGACGATCCCTCTGTTGAGCCTTGTGTGGTATTTTGGCCTTGGTTGGTGAACGTGGACTGGGAGGTGCCTGCTTGACTGGTCGTACCCGAAAGTGGAGAGGTCGTGGCTTCAATGGTACTCTCAGAGCCTGATGCTGTGGTGGATGATTGCTGAGAAAGAGTAGATTCTGTGTTTGTGACATGTAATGTTGTTTCCGAGTGGCTTGACGCAGTGCTACCCTCGGATGCTGTGGAAGTTTCTCCCAGTGTTGTAGCAGAGTAAACCTCGGTTGTCATTTTGGGAGTAGGTGTTGTAGCTTCCCTTGATGGTGTGGAGCTCGCACCTGTGGGCGTTGTCAAGAGAGTGGAAAGCGTAGATGTCTCGCTTGATGTCTCTGTAGTATAAGAACTGGTTGTTGTAGATGTGTTTTCTGTCACTGCTGAGGATGTTCCAGTCACCATTTCCGATGTCAAGCTTTCCTCAGTCGTTGAAACAGTAGATACTGAAGACATCCCAGTCATTGTCGTTTCTTGAGTCGTTGGCTCCTCAGAGGAAGTTAAAGATGCAGTGGCAACGGAAGCAGATTCCGTGGAGGCCGATTGAGTGGAAACAGTCGAGGTTTGACTTGTTTCTGTGCTCGACGTTTCTTTTGTAGATTCCGGAGTGGACAAGGTTGAGGTGGCTTCCATCGTAGTGGACATAGATGCTTGGTAAGGGCCAGGACTGACTGTGGATGACGTTTCCTCTGTGGGAGTAGAAGCTGTCTGTGGTGACGATCCCTCTGTTGAGCCTTGTGTGGTATTTTGGCCTTGGCTGGTGAACGTGGACTGGGAGGTGCCTGCTTGACTGGGTGTACTTGAAAGTGGAGAGGTCGTGGCTTCAGTGGTACTCTCAGAGCCTGATGCTGTGGTGGATGATTGCTGAGAAAGAGTAGATTCTGTGTTTGTGACATGTAATGTTGTTTCCGAGTGGCTTGACTCAGTGCTACCCTCGGATGCTGTGGAAGTTTCTCCCAGTGTTGTAGCAGAGTAAACCTCGGTTGTCATTGTGGGAGTAGGTGTTGTAGCTTCCCTTGATGGTGTGGAGCTCGCACCTGTGGGCGTTGTCAAGAGAGTGGAAAGCGTAGATGTCTCGCTTGATGTCTCTGTAGTATAAGAACTGGTTGTTGTAGATGTGTTTTCTGTCACTGCTGAGGATGTTCCAGTCACCATTTCCGATGTCAAGCTTTCCTCAGTCGTTGAAACAGTAGATACTGAAGACATCCCAGTCATTGTCGTTTCTTGAGTCGTTGGCTCCTCAGAGGAAGTTAAAGATGCAGTGGCAACGGAAGCAGATTCCGTGGAGGCCGATTGAGTGGAAACAGTCGAGGTTTGACTTGTTTCTGTGCTCGACGTTTCTTTTGTAGATTCCGGTGGACAAGGTTGAGGTGGCTTCCATCGTAGTGGACATAGATGCTTGGTAAGGGCCAGGACTGACTGTGGATGACGTTTCCTCTGTGGGAGTAGAAGCTGTCTGTGGTGACGATCCTCTGTTGAGCCTTGTGTGGTATTTTGGCCTTGGTTGGTGAACGTGGACTGGGAGGTGCCTGCTTGACTGGGTGTACTTGAAAGTGGAGAGGTCGTGGCTTCAATGGTACTCTCAGAGCCTGATGCTGTGGTGGATGATTGCTGAGAAAGAGTAGATTCTGTGTTTGTGACATGTAATGTTGTTTCCGAGTGGCTTGACTCAGTGCTACCCTCGGATGCTGTGGAAGTTTCTCCCAGTGTTGTAGCAGAGTAAACCTCGGTTGTCATTTTGGGAGTAGGTGTTGTAGCTTCCCTTGATGGTGTGGAGCTCGCACCTGTGGGCGTTGTCAAGAGAGTGGAAAGCGTAGATGTCTCGCTTGATGTCTCTGTAGTATAAGAACTGGTTGTTGTAGATGTGTTTTCTGTCACTGCTGAGGATGTTCCAGTCACCATTTCCGATGTCAAGCTTTCCTCAGTCGTTGAAACAGTAGATACTGAAGACATCCCAGTCATTGTCGTTTCTTGAGTCGTTGGCTCCTCAGAGGAAGTTAAAGATGCAGTGGCAACGGAAGCAGATTCCGTGGAGGCCGATTGAGTGGAAACAGTCGAGGTTTGACTTGTTTCTGTGCTCGACGTTTCTTTTGTAGATTCCGGAGTGGACAAGGTTGAGGTGGCTTCCATCGTAGTGGACATAGATGCTTGGTAAGGGCCAGGACTGACTGTGGATGACGTTTCCTCTGTGGGAGTAGAAGCTGTCTGTGGTGACGATCCCTCTGTTGAGCCTTGTGTGGTACTTTGGCCTTGGTTGGTGAACGTGGACTGGGAGGTGCCTGCTTGACTGGGTGTACCCGAAAGTGGAGAGGTCGTGGCTTCAATGGTACTCTCAGAGCCTGATGCTGTGGTGGATGATTGCTGAGAAAGAGTAGATTCTGTGTTTGTGACATGTAATGTTGTTTCCGAGTGGCTTGACTCAGTGCTACCCTCGGATGCTGTGGAAGTTTCTCCCAGTGTTGTAGCAGAGTAAACCTCGGTTGTCATTTTGGGAGTAGGTGTTGTAGCTTCCCTTGATGGTGTGGAGCTCGCACCTGTGGGCGTTGTCAAGAGAGTGGAAAGCGTAGATGTCTCGCTTGATGTCTCTGTAGTATAAGAACTGGTTGTTGTAGATGTGTTTTCTGTCACTGCTGAGGATGTTCCAGTCACCATTTCCGATGTCAAGCTTTCCTCAGTCGTTGAAACAGTAGATACTGAAGACATCCCAGTCATTGTCGTTTCTTGAGTCGTTGGCTCCTCAGAGGAAGTTAAAGATGCAGTGGCAACGGAAGCAGATTCCGTGGAGGCCGATTGAGTGGAAACAGTCGAGGTTTGACTTGTTTCTGTGCTCGACGTTTCTTTTGTAGATTCCGGAGTGGACAAGGTTGAGGTGGCTTCCATCGTAGTGGACATAGATGCTTGGTAAGGGCCAGGACTGACTGTGGATGACGTTTCCTCTGTGGGAGTAGAAGCTGTCTGTGGTGACGATCCCTCTGTTGAGCCTTGTGTGGTATTTTGGCCTTGGTTGGTGAACGTGGACTGGGAGGTGCCTGCTTGACTGGGTGTACTTGAAAGTGGAGAGGTCGTGGCTTCAATGGTACTCTCAGAGCCTGATGCTGTGGGTGGATGATTGCTGAGAAAGAGTAGATTCTGTGTTTGTGACATGTAATGTTGTTTCCGAGTGGCTTGACTCAGTGCTACCCTCGGATGCTGTGGAAGTTTCTCCCAGTGTTGTAGCAGAGTAAACCTCGGTTGTCATTTTGGGAGTAGGTGTTGTAGCTTCCCTTGATGGTGTGGAGCTCGCACCTGTGGGCGTTGTCAAGAGAGTGGAAAGCGTAGATGTCTCGCTTGATGTCTCTGTAGTATAAGAACTGGTTGTTGTAGATGTGTTTTCTGTCACTGCTGAGGATGTTCCAGTCACCATTTCCGATGTCAAGCTTTCCTCAGTCGTTGAAACAGTAGATACTGAAGACATCCCAGTCATTGTCGTTTCTTGAGTCGTTGGCTCCTCAGAGGAAGTTAAAGATGCAGTGGCAACGGAAGCAGATTCCGTGGAGGCCGATTGAGTGGAAACAGTCGAGGTTTGACTTGTTTCTGTGCTCGACGTTTCTTTTGTAGATTCCGGAGTGGACAAGGTTGAGGTG